TGTTGTTTCTGTATTTGAGAATCTCACCTGTTTTTACATTTACAGAGTCAGCAAACCACTGGAGCTCCATGAACAAATCCCTACAAGATGTTAACTTCGATTTAAAAATGAGCAAAAAGAAGACACATTCATCCAAGGCAGCAGATGACAGAGCAGTCACTTCATCTGGGTGGATGAAAGATTTTTGGGTAGAACATAGTGTGCATTATGCAGTGGAAAAAAGGCATTAACAAAATAACTGTGTTGACCCATAAGGCATCAACATTATAACAAGCATGCCCATTACATTGCAGAAGCATTTCATGTGAAAGAGCACAAGTGTCATTCAGGTGGCTAGAAAATCTATTTAATATGAAAATGTGGGAACAAGAGAGAAGTTCACTGAAGTTTGGTTTCTGGTAGCTAATTGATCCCAGAACCTCAACCTCATCTAGCATAATTATTCAGGATGAGTCAGCATAGCATAGATACATAACATAAGCAAGATTACGTATGTTGTTCAACACACCCAGAACTTACTCCTTCTTTAAGAAACAGTCCATCTCATGTCCTGAACACTCTATTGTTCAGATGCCATCGTATTTTGTTTTTGCACTGACAGCAGACCTGTATTTTGGAGTATGAAACAAAATAGTCCCCTCCCTTAAGCACTGTTTGGTTTTCCATGAAACAGGTTGGTTAATTCACATAGCAGATTGTAAAGGGTACAGGCATAGGGCTATTGGTTTGGTGTGATATTTTCTTTGGCATAGGAGAGTACACTACAACACCTGTCAATTACCATACAAACAAAACCATTCAGCATACAGTATATAACAAAGTAGGACGTACAGTATAACATGGTAAATGTAACTTAATGTGGCTTCAAGCAGCTATTGTGCTTCAATGGTTTCCTTGGATAGGAGGACATTTCCTATAGAGTGGAAGATGTGTCTTGTTGAAATCTACATTGTTCTACTTATCAGCCTCGGGTGGGAACATCTAGAAGTAGGTTTTGCTGAATGCTCCTGGGATATGATTGGGGCAGGCTCAGGGTTGGGAAATCTTTAGCTCGTCATGAAATGGAGGACCACCCTGCTAACGTGTAGACACCTGCTATCTGCAGACAGTATCGGTGGTGGTTTTGTTGATGTCCCATTAACAAACAAGCAAACTTGTGTCCATAAGAGTTGATGTGGCTGTGTATTTCAATCATTTTGAATTTCTTGCTACACTTTTATACAGTAAGTTAAATGTTTTGAAAACAAAAGGTGATCACGGGTTTTAGGAAAAAAATGCAACACATCTCCCACCTACCGCAAATAAAGGACAGACTGTTGAGGTTGTTAGTGACTATGAGTACTTGCAACTGGTCGTAATAAAACTAGGTAAGGCAGACTGAACACTTTTATACAAATTATTTATTGAAAGTGTTTTAACAGACCACCTCACTTGTTGGTTTGGCAATACCGTTCAATGGAATGTGTTGGGGAAATTACAGTAGATACAAGATACAATAAGCACAAAATTATTGGGCAAATCAAACCTAAACGCCCTGTACAAACAGAAACTTTTAGAGAAGGCCAAGAGCAACAATCGCTCATCTCCATCCAAATTTAAACTGTTCCTGTCTGACTTAACAGTAATAGACTTTCATCTCCACCACAATCTCACTGATAAAAAATGTAAAATAACTCTCTTATCTCTAGTAACACTGTTTTACTTTATTCTTTGTTGTTGATTTGATATTCTATTGTGTTGGGCCCAGCCGTAAAACTAATTTTACTCAGGGGATATATTGAATAAAGTATTTTGTGCTTTTACCTTTGTTCCCCTTCAAGTTTGTGCTCAGAGTTTTATAATAATAATTATTTACATTTACAGTATATAAGTGCTTTTCTGGACACTCCACTCAAAGTGCTTTACAGGTAATGAGGACTCCCCAAACCTGCAGCACCCACCTGGATGATGCAACAACAGTCATAGTGCGCAAATTAAGCTCACCGCACATGAGCTATCAGTGGGGAGGAGAATGGAGTGAAAAAGACAGTTCATAGGTGGGGATTACTAGGAGGCCACGTTCGTTAAAGGCCATTGAGAAATTTGGCCAGGACGCTGGGGTAACACCCCTACTCTTTTTCAGAAATGCCCTGAGATTTTTAATGACCAGAGAGAATCAGGACCTCGGTTTTATGTCTCATCTTGAGGACAGCGCCTTTTTACAGTATGCAATAATATACAATTAATACAATAATAAGTGAGGGATAGTGCAGCTGTAGAATTTGAACCTATCAGGTAAATTAAATAACTTTTCTCATTATTTTAAATATGTTGAAACCTGTTTACTTTCAATGAACTCTCCAGATTCTCTGTAATTGATACGTGTATCTGCCTGGAAGTGTATCAAAATAGGAAATGATTAATACATCTTCAAAAAGTGTGTCCTGCCTCTCGTAAAAAGTGTTTATTGCCCAATAACATTAACAAACTAAAGTCTGTGCTGCCTAGCACACTGAATGATGGGGTAATGAAAGTGTTTTTTGAATCATTCAGGAATTTTCTTTGCAGTGAACACTGCTATCTAGTGGTCTCAATCATGAATGAAGATAATTCCTATGAAGAACTGTGCAGAAGCAAATAACCATGTATTTTATTCATTAATTTTCCTTAATTATTGTATGCCAGTGACTGTAAAAGTTGTTTATATCTTTATTACACAAATATAATGCTTTATACATATATTGCAGGGCAACAAATGAAATTCACCAAAAACAATTCTACAGAAAGCCTCTTTTGATATAAAACTATAATAATCAGGACATCAAACAAAAACTTTTTTTTCAGCAGGTGCACTGACTTAATATCGAACAGACATGACATAAATACGATAAATTAATTGATCTACAGGGTGTCTACTGTGAAACCCACAGGTTAATAGAATGTGTGGCCACTGCTGGAAACATTACAGTCTATAAACATGCTTTGCACCAGGTTGTACAGTAGACCCTGTCTCGTGGGAATCTTTCTCATTTCTGTTGCAATGCCAGAACAAGATACTGCACAACATTTCAAAGGGGCTCAAGTCTGACAAGCAGGGCTTTCACAGCATTACTGTCACATTTTGCATCAGAGCTGTTGCTGCAGGGGCAGCTTGAAGCTGTGTGCTGTCCTGCTGGAATGCTGAAGCATCAGGGTGAGGCAGCAAGTGAAGTCTCAGGACTTGATCAATGTAGCAGGCTGCCATCAGTCAGTAACAGGTGGAGTTCTGTATCAACCAGACTCTCCTAACCCAGCATTGTGCTCATCAATGAGCATATCATTCTGCACATCTGTGCCACACTCGCTGAGGATCACCTAGATGGTCGACACAAATCCTTGATTCGTTGCTAAATGAATGGTGAGTGTTGAATGGGACTTCTGCAGAGTTCACCAAAGGTTTTTTGCCCACACCTCTGCATTCCGTTGGAGCAATCAGCTTTAGTGAACACCTTGTGTGGCTGTTTGGCCTGAAAACCAGCTGATCTGTTGATCCTACGATTTTTCAGACCGTATGTTTCACGTAAGTGCACAGACAATTAGAAAGTGAAAGGAATGAATGACACAGCATGATGATATGTCACTCTTGGCAAGGGGTCCTAATTCAAAAGGTCTGTAGATCACAGAGTGTCAGTGACTGTGATACTGTGGTGGAAGAGTCCTGCCAGGTGAGAAATTGCCAACTTTGAACACCCCAGACTGCAACCAACATAGCAATTTCATGAAAGCTTTGTTAAATTAAGAAGCAGAAAATATCGCTTCCTGTCTGTGATTTTTACCAGGATTGACATTTAATCAGTCCATTGCTTGTGTCCAGCCAGCTCTCTCACTAAGGAGGTGATTTAGCACTCAGGCCTATGAAGCACTCAAGATCATTTGAGTGTATCACAGCCTAGGCACAAATGATCAGTTGATCAAATTGACATCAATATTTTTAATTAATACCATAAAATAATATCCATCTACTATATTTTCTAACAAAAATCAACATATAGTGCATACAGTACATAAAGTGATATGTTTTTTGAATGCTCAGTATATAATATTTTAAAATATTTGCTAGAGATCAAATAGGATGTCTCTATACTGCTTTATTATGTTAAATGCCCCCCGATTAGGCACATCAGGATGAACAGTTATGAGAGATAAGAAAAACTTTCAAATATATGATTTTTATTATAGTACTTGATAAATATATGTACTGTATGTATCTGAAACTAGAATGCTAACATGTTCATTAATTAACTTCACTGAGATCTTACAAGTGAGAAATCTAGCTCTTCATCCTTAGACATTTTGTTGTAATTTTTGTGCCAGTACAAGTCAATGTTTTTTTTTCTATAATATAAATATAATATAATATATTCTATCATAAAGCCTTGCACATTTGAAATATTTTTACATTTGAAATGTCAACGATAGATGGCGATAGACAACTAAAATTGAAAGACGCCAGAGCCTTGAAAATGTTTGAGTGTTTTCTACAGATGGGTATGTAAGGGTTTGAGAATACCAGAATAAGAGAATCAATAAGTAAATGATACATTTGTGTATACATCAACAATTTTCTGTTTACACCTCAATTAACTTTTCCAGCCTGGGTGTGTATGATTCATCTCTTTCATACATGAACGTAAAGCAATACAAAAACATATCATTATTTTTTTTGTAATAACGCGATTGTCATTCTGGTGAGAGCTTGATAATAGATTTGGAAGAACTTGAAACAGAACTGTGGTCTGTCGTATCATCAAATATCTCAAATTAGATCATCATTGACGTACTGTACAGATATTTTAATTGGAGAGTCTGTATTTCGTTTCTGACAAATGATACTAGCCTGGTACTGGTATGTTAATATTATTACTTTGGTTTTCCGTTAGATTGCTAATACTATTTTCATAACTACATATCCCATGTTCCCTTGAATCAGATACGAATGTTATTTTTGTTCTCCTGTGTTCCTGCGTTTCCTGTCCGTCAGAAACAAAGTGCTAACCAATGCTTACTCACATTACCCTGTCTTTACCGTGAACATTACAACTGGGACCTGCAGATAAATTAAAGGACACATCTGGATATTTAATCTTTTATCTGGAGGCAAGGAGTAAGTGATTAATCCCTTTAATTGAACTTTTCCTTACCTATTATGCTAGTCGTGAAATTAATTATTTTAGCCATTTTTACCTGAAGTAAACGGCGTCTTTTCTGTGTTTGCACCGTAAAACAGCTCGTGTTAACGTTCCCTGCAATACATCACAAGACTTATAATTATAGCAGTGACCGTGTGCTGGATTTGTGGGTTTTGTTAAATTGTTTTATTCAGCTGGCAGAATTTCTCATTTCTGTGTTACCGCAATTGATTCTTCCCGTAAAGGAAATAATAGTGACGTCAGTACAGCAGAGTACAGGCAAAGCTAACTGGCGAGCTGCACCACAATTCAGATCTCTGTGCTTGCTAAAGCATCGGACTTTACGTTGTAATTGATGGCATTCTTTTAATTAATCCATACTGTACCTGCTGGCGCGATATCTGTGGTCAAAATGCAATGACCTAGGTTTGTCGAGGGATAAAATGCCACACGTTAATTATTTTTAATGCATTATATTTTTGAGTAGAAAGTACTTTAGTAACCTACAGTATATACAGTAGCAACATGTACTGTACGTATAGTAGACTGGTGGAGGATATCATCTGGAAGAACAGCACTTTTGTCACTGTGTGATTAGAACAGCTGCCATTGGTTAATGCTCTAGCATAAAGGAGACAAATATCGGTAATAGTAATTATTTTAATCTGATATCCTTGTGATATATGTTGGTGGAAAAAAGGTTTCAATTACCTAATTACTAACGTCTTGGCTTCTTTCGGAAATGACTAGTTGAGATTCAATCAGAACTTGATCAATGAAGCAAGAGGTAATTACTTGTTCTTGTACTTTTTAATAACTTTTTTTAACATTTGAACTCGCCCCCTTGTTTAAAGACAAAGTGCTAATTAAATTACTTAAACATGTAACATTTAACATTTAATTCAAAGACGTTAATTAAATGTGATATTAAAGTAAAAAAAATGGAAATAATCTTTAAGGCCTGAAGGTAAAAAACAGGTGGAATACACATTTCCTGAAGTCTTCGAGACGATAAGATCACTTTATTGGCCATATACAATTCCTTGTATTGTAGTGTCTTTTCGCATACCCCAACTTGCTCTGTATGAGACACACTGACAGAGAGAGAAGCATGGGGTCAGAGTGCAGGGTCAGCCATTTACTGTATATGACACCCCTGGAGCAGTTGGGGTTAAGGGTCTTGCTCAGGGGCCCAACGGAGTAGTTTACCTATGCCAGTCACAGGATACGAACTGGCAACCTTCCAGCCACAGGTGCAGATCCTTAGCCACAGAGCCACCACACCACCCAGTTGTATGTGTGTGTCTCATGGAGAGCAAGTTGGGAACCTCACAAACTACAGTTTGAGACCCCTGCTCAACAATAAAGGGTGTTTTAAATATCTTAGTGAAGCCTCAGTTGAACTAAAGTGTTTCTTGGTTGGAATATTTGCATTTTTTTTCAGATGTTTGGCATCTTATTTAACTTCCACCTGTTCAACACAGTTGTTAAAAGGCCAACTCCAATATGTTGAATTAATCAAATTAGTAAATATGTTAAGGGTTCAAACTGTGAGAGCTCAGCAGGATTGGGAGACCAGGATTGGGAACTCTGTGACATCATACTGAGCACATTTTCAGCTCTCTGAGACATGCAGACCAAACTAAAACGTTGTAGCATGTAGTCAGAATCCTATATCTTATTTTCTTTACTATTGTGTAATCTTTATGTTCTTTATCTATAGTGCTTGCCCTGAAATATGTCTCCCAAATGCATTTAATCTAGTTTCATCAAGAATTTCAGATGAGACTGGTCCAGAAAAACGTTGATTTTGAATCATGCCAAGACTTGCATTACTGTCACACACTACCAGCTACTAGAAGCTAGAAGCCAGTTTAAAGAAGGTACCGTTTTCTGGAACGTAACTGTGACAACGATGGCTGTTTTCAGAATATTAGCCCTACATGTATAAAAAACTTAGTCCATCATGTATTTGTCCACATGTATAAAACAGGATTTTTTTCATCATCTTGTGGGATGACTTGTCAATTAATGCTTATTAAACTGTCTGGTTTTTGGATTGGCATTAGTAAGCATTTTATTCTGTTTTCAGTACTACTGACTCTTTTCTAGACTCCCCACCCCTCCTCGACTCAGTATGTATTTTTTAGCACAATTCACACCATAAAAACCATGAACATAGAATGGGATTGCACCCTCCCTATTTTCCTTTCACACATTTTACTTCTGTGTATCAATGGTGTGTTCTTCTCATAAGCCATGAGAAATAGCAGTTTTTTCTATTTATTGTCTGGCAACAAAATCAATGGCAGACTCACTTTGTGAGTTTGTACCTTCTGCATGTGTAAAATCCTTATCTATTCTGCTTTTCTTGATAGTCAAATATTGTGGTGGCACAGTGGTTAAACTATAATAATGATAATTCCTTATCCTTTTTCTGGACACTCCACTCAAAGCGCTCTACAGGTAATGGGGACTCCCCTCCACCACCACCAATGTGCAGCATCCACCTGGATGATGTGACGGCAGCCATAGTGCGCCAGAACGCTCACCACCCATCAGCTCTATCAGCTATCAGCGGGGAGGACCGCAGAGTAATGAAGCCAATTCATAGAGGGGGATTATTTGGAGGCCATGATTGATAAAGGCTAGGGGGAACTTTGGCCAGGACACTTTGGTGACACCCCTACACTTTTCGAGAAATGCCCTGGGATTTTTAATGACCACAGAGAGTCAGGACCTCGGTTTTACATTTCATCAGAAGGACGGCACTTTTTTACAGTATAGTGTCCCTGTCCCCGTGGTATTAGGACCCACACAGACAGCAGGGTGAGCACCCCCTGCTGGCCCCACTAACACCTCTTCCAACAGCAACCTTAGTTTTTCCCAGGAGGTCTCCTGTCCAGGAACTGACCAGGCTCACACCTGTGAGTGTGTTGCCAGTTGTGGGTTGCAGGAGATATGGCAGCCAGCTAATGCCTCCTAACTCATAAGACTTGGCATTCTCATTTGTTTATTATTATGCCTTGTCAGTTACTGTCGTTGTGAAGAAAAAGTTATTTTTTTACTGCTGTTATTATAATGACTTTTGTACCTTTGTATTCCAGGTATATTCCAAGAGAGGTTGGTGTTGTTGTAGAGCTTCAAGCTTATTTGAGCTCAAAAGATAAGGAAGTATTCTTCAGATTGTCCTTTTTAGGATTTTGTTCCAAGTGGTAACTGTACTGAATTGTGGTTAGGGCAAAATACCTCTGTTCACTGGCAGTTGTGCTCTGTGCAGTAGATTCTTTGCAAAATGCGATAAAGTTATGCCATATGTGTTTAATCCAAGAGTAAGCAATACTGCAGAGTGTTTAGTGGATTATTTTACTTTTTGTAGGCCTTATGTTAAGGCAATGCATACAAATGCACTTTGGCCTCTGTAAGAGATGGTGTATCACACTTTACTTAGTTGTATTATTAACCCCAAGCTGCAGGTTGGTGAGAAGCAGAACAGGACTCAATACTTCTTTGGTCCAGTATGGTTAATGGTTCATATAGTCTTTGATACCAGGTTCATAAACAAGGGTTCAAAGAGGAGGTTGTTAAAAAAGTGTTTTATTTCCGGTGTTGTGGCTTGGGTGAAACTGAAGACTGGGGCAAGGGAGGGGTGGAGACAACAACAAGTATTTCTGTTGGCAAGGTTGCAACATTGGTAACTGATATAGTAAAGCATTTTATGTGTTTTTGCAGAACATATTTCATGCACACTTCTCTGTACATTTGCTCGTGTGCCAGTTTTTCGAACTCCTGAATAAGGGAGGAGGCTTTTGTGGAATTTCCTGCCATTGGCATTGTGTATTTTAGAAATAATCAGCCAATCTTTTAGCAGCCCTTGAAAATGGAAAAGATTATATAACTTTCAATTAATTCCTGTTGTGTTTGATAGTTGTGATATATCCTGCTAAGCTGTATGCTTAGTTACCTTATTGTTTGCTTGCTTTCCATTCTACAGTACAGTCATATCCCAAGGAATGGAAACACAATGGGGGTGTACAGTATGTCCTTGTGACACACATTCTTTTTTCTGTAAACGTTTCGCCTTGGTGTTATCTTGATGATGTGCTTGCCCCACAAAGTTAGTTTAATGTCTTTACAACAGGGTTCAGTTGAGCTGTGGAAACAGTGGTCTCCCATGTGTTCAGCTGGTATCAAACCTGGTGAAATAGCTGGCCAGGGAAAGAGTAAAATTTGCAGTAGTCAAAAACATTACCTGACAATGTGTAGGGCTGACGCTATCTTGTCACAGTGCATGACCCATGATATTGGAGCCATTACCTTGTTTCTTTTAAGAACTAGCACAGTGAGAACCTCAGATCAAGAAGTGGGCTGAATAGCCTTTTCTCTAATGTTACCTGTCTTATGTTCTTAAATCTCATATAAAGTTTTATAGAAGATGTATGGCTGAAGATGTGGTCACATGAGACAGAAATTAATTTTAAGTCTCAATTCACAAAATCTAGCATGAGTGCAGTACTGCACATCACCTCGTCACAGCGATGAATCGTTTGGGTGCAAGCACCATGTCAATAGGATACTCCTCATCAATAGGCACTGGGAAGATTGTCAGGATTGATCCAGAAAGAAAATAGACCAAACCTAGTGGAAAACTAAATCCTAAACGCCTTGTCACCCACGAATCTAAAACTGAGTCAAGGATTTGCATTATTAGCAGTGACTTTAAAGCATGACGCTGAAGCTAGAGTGTAGAGATCCGACAAGGAAAGAGGGAATATTTTTGAGTGGCCCACTAGGCTTGATGTTTGCTGTTCATCAACTATCCCCCAAAAACTTTTCCGGGAAGATGGATGAATTTACACCATTCCAATGTACAAAACTGGTAGACCACAATCTAGAATAGCTCATGACAATAATTTGCTACCAAATGTGGTTCCACCACGCATTGATTTAGAGTCTTAATGCAATCAGTAGATCGGGAGCCTTGAAAACAATTTTTTAAAAACATTTTCAGTTTCAGTATTCATATGATCATCTGAAACAAGGGCACTCAATTATAAAACTTTGGCCACAATGCAGCTTCAATTATTATGCAATATTCTGTCCTCAAAGGGAAGCAGAACAAATATTTGATGCAGTTCAATACTTGAACTGGTTTCACAGCTTCTAATTTTGATTGGTAACCAGACGTAAGAACTAGATGTAAGATGGATGCTTAAAGCTCATGGGTTAAGAATTGTTAGAATTTCTTTTCTAGTGTAAAATACAGTATACCCACAACATTTCTTACTCATTTAAATAGGACATTTTAAGTTTAATAAAAATAAAGTTCCCTTTCTTCCAGCAGTAAACCTAAATCTTTTCCATGTTGAAATTTCCCTCTGATATATCAGGATTCATAGGTTTTTCAGGTACAGGATTCATTAAACTATTATGTGGCTGAAGTGGTTTTGGTTGAGGAATAGCAGTTTAGGGATTTAAATTTAACTAATGAAGAATGAAACAAGAATACAAAAACCCTTATAGTTTATGTGAATTATGAAAATTAACTAGAGCTTGAATAATGAGCTGCTTCAGAGTCACTGAAACTGGGAGATAGTACTGAAATAGACTGTATCTTGGCTGACGGATTTGTCTTTTGTATATCCTGTATCTGATCAGAATGTAGGCAGGTCATGACTGCAAACTGTTCTTTCCCTTTCCTCTTGTTTCTGCTAATATTGAATTTGTTGTGAAACTGCTTTGAATTTGAGTTGCTTATTAAACATGCTTTTGTTACAGTATGTGGGCTATGGAATGTGGTGATAGGGCAAACTGAGGCACTATTGCATTCATACAATCAATAGACAAACATTTGTCTTCACCCTCATTTCTCCTATGCCCTGTGTGAATTGTTTCCAATCTTGCCTTTTATCATTGGATGTGCTGTGTAGGGCTTTTGAAGCAGCTAGTTTTTTATAAGGATCCATTATTGTGTTCTTAATTCTCCTCATGACCAAGCCTTACCAAAGCAAGACATTGTGTAATAACACCTGTAGTGTCACAAAAGACTTTTGCATTAACACAACTCCCCAGAATTCTTGGACCACATTACTGGATATTACATAGGCTAATCCTAGGAAGGATTCATCATTGGTTGAGAAAAGATAATACACGAATACACATAGAAGATACACATATATTAATGCAGATACTACAGAGAACTGCAGTCTGTTTTATTGCCTTAGGAATGTACATTTGCCTTTTGCAGGCTAAAAAAACACCCACACCAATTTATATAACTTTGCAGTATTCAAAGTCTTTCATTGCCTGAGGATGGAAGAAAACCTGTTTTGGTGCTCCACATCCTATTGTTCTTTTGCAGCATTTGCCTAAAGTGAACCCTTTAAGTAAATGACTGTACTGTATATAGGTACTAATGCTGTCTTTTGCTTCTAACATCTGAATTAAAAGGTTATAATTTTGTATGTCCTTGTTTATTGTAATCCTGAGGAAAGTCTTCATCCTGTTGAATCATGCTGGATAGAAAGCCTTAATATAAAATGAGAATAAATACCACCTTGTTACAATATCCCTTCTTATCTCTTTTTCTCAGATTGGAAGTTTCTGTGACTTGGCTGCTTTCTCACTGGCAATGGTTGAAAGACTAGTCTTGTGACTGGCTCTGTAAGCTTCTTCACTTGAAATGGCATGGCTTTAATTCAGGGACCTGATTTTTAACTCGACTTTAGTTGCATAGAAGAAGCTTTTTGTGTTCATAGTTAATAATTTGGCCAGTTCAGATTATCTGCAGCCGTACTGCAAAGGTAAAACTCACTGCTGTGTGCCGAGGGGCTTAACCCTTTGCTGTATTTTGTTTTTTACCTTTAAAATGTGCTAAAGTAGTTGTTTCTCCTTGGTATAATTATCCAAATTCATTCTTGAAAGTAAAATGACATTGTTCAGTCTCTATAGCACCTTCAAATACTGTCAATTCTATGCAAAGGAGTTTCATGTATTTTTATAAAACTGGTATGAAGTTATGCCGGTAATTTAGTGGTCTAGACTTCTGGATCCAAATCTGTTTTTCCTCTGGGTTTTCATGAAAGTAGCATAAAAAGTGAACTGCAGTGCTGATTGAGGCTCAGGCATTTCTGTTTTTGTTGGCTGTGGCTGGTGAACCCCTGGGGTTCTTGCAAAGCTGGTGAAGATCACCAGTGGCAGGACAGTCTGATGCCCATCGTCCAGGACCTCCTGCTTTGAAACGATCTGATGCTTTACCCATCTGTCCTTTGTCTGGCAGTTTGTACACCGGTTTTCTCTTATAGTTGCAGCTCATCTGTGGGGACCAGTGTATTTTTATACAAGGTCATTTCGGGTTTTGAAGTACAAGTGAAGTTGAATGACAGGAATACTAGCCTAGATCTAGAAGAAGTGTGACAGTCGGCTGCTCAGGGTCAAGTTGGTTTACTCTAACAGATTTACCTGATTTTTTAAAACCATCCACTCATTTACCTAATCCCCTTAGCTTTTTTTTCTAAATTGTTTCTGTGTATTTCCAGCTGGAATATCTTAATGTTTTATGAAGAAAGTGGTCTGAAGCGATTTAAATCCTTCTAAATCCTCTGTTTTTAAAGAAGCATAGCCAGAAAATTCTTTAAATGTGGGTGCTCATTTTCGGACTTCCATGATGTAGTGAAAGAAATTATGTTACAGTGTTAATTGTCTTTTTAAAGGGGGGAGAAGACAGAAATAAAAGCTGTGTATGATTGAGCTGACCAGGTTAGGCCGGGGTCTTCCTGAACCCGTGTGTTGATTCAGGAGCTGTTGTGTGTTGTCAGACATGGCAGCTGTGAGGGGGTGATGAGGCCAGAGGCTGTGAACTGTGACCTGCGCGACCGGGAGTCAAAATGGAGAGTCGTCTGAGTGGCAGCCTGGACTCCAGGGCCTCCCTGCGTGCTATCAGCTCCATCAACACTGCCCAGCTGGCCTCCAGGCTGGACTCCTATGAGACCGGGGAGAAGAAGTGCATCTCTGATGTCAGAAGGACCTTCTGCCTCTTCGTGACCTTCGACCTCCTCTTCATCACACTGCTGTGGATCATTGAGCTGAATGTGGGTGTTTGTTCACAAAGTTTCTTATTTTGCTGATGATTTTCTTTCTATTTTTGCCTTCAGTTTCTGATGGCAGTTGTAAAGGTGTAACGGCACAGATTTATAGAGTACAAAAATACAGCATACAGTACACTGCACATTAGGGTAAATGTACATTTTTTAAAATATTACTAATAATAATCAACTTTATTTTATAATATCATCCAAAGTGCTGTACAATTAATAAAAAAACACATTTAACAAAATAAAATTAATGAAAATTCCAAGTCAATTAAACATAGGAAATAAAATAACAAAAAGTCTTTATGAAAATGTAAGTTTTAGGCTAGACTGAAAATCTTCCTATATGACAGAGTCCTTGCTTTCTTTTTTGATGGTATTTGCAGTTTGGAGTTTTTTGGGCAACAAAAGGGCCTGTCAAAATTACTGTGAGATACTGTAACACCTGGAAGCGATTGCTAATTTACGAGATCATTATGCACTGTTAGTTATGTAATAACTAATAGCAGCAAGTGATTTTTGGAACACTGGAAACATTGCCTCGTAGCAAATATTTCTGAATTTGTCACCCAGACTTATTTAATTATCCTGTTCATAAAGGGTTGATGTGTTTATTAACAAGTTAATGTGCAAAACAGCTTTTTTATGTTGTTGGCCAGCATGTAATAATAGGTAGACATAACTTCTGATTTTACTTTGCAAGGCAAACGATGAAGAGGGTTCTTAATGTCATCTAAGTATTTAGAAATTTCAGTCATGTGTCTTTTTGTTTGTGTGTGTTGTTTATATAGGCTAATTTATCTTCTGATATTTTGCAATGCCTTCTGCTTGCTCAGCTTCAGAATCATTGTGGGGAAGGCTGTCACAACAAGTATGAAGTAGCAAGATTAGAATGTGAAGGAAAATATTAAAACTTTAGCTTGGTTTAGAATGCAGCTTTACTTTTAGTAGCAGTATCATATACACCATAGTTCTGGAGTTATTGAAATATTTGACTTGCTCCTGAAGTCATTCACAGCAATTAATTATGTGCTAATTACCCAAATACATTTTAACAGAGATATCCTTTGCATTAAAGCAATGAAACCTCTGTCCCCCTAAATTATAATTTCTCACAGACAGAAATGTTACCCCCCACAAAAAAAAGTTTATTATTATGTATTTGTGTTTTTCAAATCTTACTTTTTCAGCCTTGTTTTTTGTTTCACTGCATACAAAATCTAATACAAATAATAATGGTTTTATGCCAAGTTGTGTGCAACAGATCCAATATTATTCCAGTGTGAAAAAATATGATTTGATTTTTAAGTTTTATCTGTAGGATGTCTGCACTAGGTAACAGTTGTATTTACCGGTAACTCGCAGTAGACTGCGTACAGCGTACCGGAAAATAATGCGGTATCGCCCACGCATTTTGAATGGCTGCATCTGTATGTATTAACACAGACAAGAACGTGGACACTTGCGTCTGACTGTTGTGTTGTGTCAAAAGCAGTCTTGTGTTTTTCTTTCATCCATTTTTAGTGACCTCAGGCGTTTGTTTGAAATGTGAACATTGTACTACAGCAAGCTTGGTGGCAGAAAGACTTATTTTACAGTAGATAAATCAGAATTAATAACCATTCTATCAGCTTTAGTTTTGAATGGATAATGTTTATCCCAGTTAGGAAGAATGTTTCTCTTGACTGAGTTTAATCCTTTTCCAAGGTCTAGAGCAGATGATATTTAAAGGAGACACAAGAAAATGTTCTGGATTGTGATCCAGAGATGGTAAAAATACCTTTGATGCTTCATTAGCTTCATTGATAGTCTGATGTGAATTACGTTGCACATCTTTCCAATGCACCTTAAGATGCTCTTTTATTATTTTTCTCCTTTTTTCAGGCATATTAATTGGAGCAAATTAATTTATTAAATTATTCTCAATAGTTTATTATTCTAAATCTAAATCAATCTTTTTTTGTCCCACTTTAGGTAAACGGAGGTATTGCAGAACAGTTAAGCCAGGAAGTTCTTCATTATGATTACCATGCTTCTTTTTTTGATATATTTGTAAGTATTTTTTAATTACCTTTAGTTTTGAGCCCATAGTACAGGAAGATCAAGGAATCAAAAAAAATTGTATTCACATAAAGTCCATTCAAAGGTATAGCCATGTTATAATATGCATAAATGTAAAGTTTACTGCAACATTATCTTACTTAAGAAAAATGTAGTTCTCTGCATTTTAATAATCCACACAGAGCCTGATTTCTTTTCATTGTTTTATCCATATTTTTATTGTTCATTTCAGTCCACCAGAGGAATGAAAGTCAAGTTTGTATACAGTAGGCTCCAAATAAACTGGATTTTCTTTTCCTTGGACAGAAGGAAAATCAAACTTCATGTTATGAAAATAAGTGTGATACATTTTCCAAATTTTTTGTATGCCTTAGAAAAGTACAAAAGCTCATAATGTCAGAGTCTCAGTTGATGTGCATTTACAAATTTCTGTGATTTCTGTGTGTGCACTTTGACCTCCAGTGCTTAGCAACCCCTTCACAGGATCTCCTAGCCATCATCAGAGCCCACTCATAGAGGATTGAGAAGTGCTGAAGCAGTTTTAGATTATTTTTGTGTTTCACAAGCAGCACAGCAATGAAAGGGTTTTTAGAGAATCCGTCAGTTTAAAAGTAGCCTAGCTTCAGGGACACAGCTTCCTTCGTGATCTATTTACAGTTTATATGCAGTAGTTCTCTCAATTGGAGTTTCACATCAGCTGGAAATAGAAGTCAGCAGATGGGGCAGCATACAGCTTTAACCAGGCTGTCTGAACAGCAGGGCTGTCCAGAGTGGGCACAGAGGATCTCTTCCTCTTATGTAATTAGTGCTTGAAAAAAGCAAAACATCCTGTACTACAAGGGCTAAAATATTAAATTGTGAGCCAGATAATAGAATTCTGTGCTTTGATTCTGTGACTGGAATTATTTCAAGGGGTGTTATGCTGAAAACCAGAATGAAACAATTTAAGGATTAAAAAATAACTCGCTTGCACCCAGAGCAGAGCCATAATTGGAAGGTGTTGCAAAGATGAGTGAAACTACTACTAATAAGATACTACCCTGTTAACATTACTATGAGAATTCATGATAGCTAGTGTATTCTCTAAGTGAAAGTAACAGTGAGCCATTAATGAACTAGCATGGGGACTTTCCAGTATTCTCTCTATTTTCTTGTGGTTGTTAGTTGTTGTTTTTTTCAATTAGGGCTCTTTTTTTTCTGAAGCGTTTCCTATGATTCAGATTTAATAGGCTACCTCTCAGTGGGTATTTTTGATGCAGGAAAAAGAGAGGTGTTTAGGATGATGTTTTTTCTACCTGGAGGAGTAAGTAAAGTCAAAAGGTTAAAAAAACACATTTGTGGTCACCCCTTCCTGCATTTTCTATCCCATCTCCTCCTAGCAGCCCTGTGTGAGGAAGTGTATATTTTTCACTCCTGACTTAGTTGTTTCCCCTTTTCCTTAGTAGTATTGGAGTTTCCCCTTTTCTTTTCTTCCACACAGATACTCGCAGTGTTTCGCTTCGCCATGCTGATCCTTGCATACGCCGTTTGTAAACTGCAGCACTGGTGGGCAGTAGCGGTAAGCTTACAGTGACACTAGCATGCGAGGCTGTTTCCTGTCACAGTGTAAAAGAAAATTCAGTGACCTCACTTTTGAACCAAATGAGCTGACAAGAAGAAAAATGTCTCGCCTCCAGCAGACGACAACCTCCACGTTGACATTTTTTCTCTCTCTCTCTTGTCCAAATTCATCTCTCATGAGATTGGATTTATTTTGGCCAATTGTGTTCAGTAATTTGTAATATCCCTAAACAGCAATGTCTGATTTAATATGATAGAAGCTCATTTTCACATACATTTTGGTTCTTAATTAGAGTTTAGATTAAAAGATTAAAAGTATATCTTTTAAAATTCCATTTTGTTCTGCATTCACTTCAGACACAACAAATATTGAAACTTCACATTGTCACACACTGACTTTGAGAAATAAACAATTTCTTCATTTCCAGATAACAACAGCAGCTACAAGTGCCTTCTTGATAGCAAAAGTCATTATTTCCAAGGTATGTGTCTTGCATTGATCTTCTCTCAGGTCCACTCATGTTTCAAATGTGTTTTTGAGACCTGGGCCTACATGTTCGCTATTGATTGCATTGCAGCTTCTCTCCCAGGGTGCATTTGGTTACCTTTTGCCTATTACTTCCTTCATCCTGGCTTGGATTGAAACCTGGTTCCTAGACTTCAAGGTCTTACCTCAAGAAGCAGAAGATGAAAACCGTAAGTCTGTTCATTCGTTCCCTACTAAGCCCTAACACATCTTTGTTTGCTCTCAGAATTAGCTCTCAATCCAAAATTGCAAGTTGAGATGCGTTAAAACTTGTTTTATTTTCCTTTCTGATATGCTAGTAATAAACACCTAGTCTCTTGTGCTGTACTGAAGCACCTGGCGGTTAAGGTTGCGAAGTGCTTGGAGTACAAATTCAGTGTCTGAAATTCTGTTAACATAAAAAGTAGGGTATATTGTGTGTTTGTGCTGTGTTTTCTAGGTTTTGTCTTATTCTGTTGAAATTCTTAAATAGTTCATGAAGACTTTCGAAACAGTTCCACTTACATATAAAGAGGCTAAAGAAATCTTTGCCATACTAGGACTAGATGTAAAGGTTGTTTTCACAACTTTTGCTGTATTTTACCAACAGTATTATAATTTCAAATATGGAGCTTTCCAACTGTTAAACCCACTGTAGCTCAAAATTCCAGCTTCTTGTCCCTTGGTATGGGTTGAAATGCCAGGAACCTTAGAGAAAGACTCTTTAATTCTTTAAAACCTTTTCCTATCTTTGTAGCTAGTATTAGTCTTGCAGCGACATGTAGTCTCAGCTGTTTCATACCTATCCTCTTTTATTTTTGAACTGTCGGCGCACTGCAATTTTCATATTATCCCCGAAGTGACACAGAGCGTGCTGTCGGTGTTATAGACCGGACAAGTTAGAATTACCAAGCCTGAATTCAAATATAGGAGGTGACAGAAAAAGTTGTAGGCAATTAAATCAGTCTCTTTGTCCAGAAAACATAGGAATTTTGTTTTGCTTTGTTCCTTTATCGATGCTCATGGCTGTGTGGCCTGTTGTCTGCCACAGGGCTGCTGTCTGTGGCGAGTGTGTCAGAAAGAGCACCCCTTATCCTGCCCGGGCCTCTCTCAGATGGCCAGTTCTACTCTCCTCCAGAATCAGTTGCAGGTAAGGGTGGCCATGTCAAAGCTCAGTGTGTGCTGGAGTGGCCCTGATGAGAAACCAGGGCACTAAAACAGTTTCCTCCCATCCGTTAAACTGGCCATTTTCTGAAGATTCGAAAGCGGCAATGGGTTTGTCACTTTCTGAACTAAGAGTAAAATAACTTACATGTGAAGCGTGGGGGCACAGTTAACTTATGAACTTAACTTATGATAGTTTAATTGGTTAGTTAGGATCCCAGGAGTTTTTGTTTAAGAGTGAAAAGATAAATATAATTTGAGCAGGCCTAGGTTAGGCAGAAAGTGATGCAGTGGTTAGCATTGTTGCCTTGCAGCACTGGGTGTTTGGGTTCACCTCCTCAGCTGGGGTGCTGTCTGTGTGGAGCTTGTATGTTCTGCCTGTGTTTGCTTGGGTTTCCTCCCACAGTCCAAAACATACTGGTGTACTACTTGGCTTCTGGGCAAATAGGCCCTTGTGTGAGTGTGTGTGTCTGTGTGTGTGTGCCCTGAGATTTATTGGCATCCTATCCAGGGTTATCCTGACTGACCCCCCCCCCCCTACATCTGTAAATAGTTAATATCTGTGAATTAACTATTTACAGATATATCTATTGGAATTTATTAACTGATCGAGCACTTTGTTGCTGTCGGCGGTTCCTTCATGTTAAGATTGAGCCACACTCTTGAAGTTTCCTTTCTTTTGTCCGGTTAACTGTAAATATAAAAGGGGTAGTACAAAAGGCCAGTGTCAGTGAGTTCACTTCCTGGTTAAGTAAAAGAAAAACGCTGGCAGTCAAATATTATTAATCTGTTTTAAAAGATGAAAAATGTGCTAAAAAGAAAGAATGAGGGGAGGAAATCTAACTACAGTAATTGTCCTTATAAAATGTGAAGCAAGATATTTAATAAACTCTGGTCCTGCCTTATTCTGCCTTCTGCCCCATTATTTTATAACTGTTAAGTCAAAAACATGGGTTGGTTGTATTAGATGTATAAGAGCTGTAAGCTGTTTGTCAGGAAGCCTCCTAAACATTTAAACCGTTTCTGAGAGTGTGGCTCTCCCTGCTGGTCAACTAGGACATTACATCTCACCTTAGATTCTACAGTGTGACACGGTACGGTTTCAAAATTTCCCAAGGTTTGTAGGTCTTTTGAACATTGATTCATATCACTTTGATATTATCAGTGTTTTCTTCATAGTGAGAGACAAACAAAGCAAGCACTTATAATATTATTATAAGAAATTAATTATATCAATTTTGCTATTGCAGCTGGCTGAATAATTGTCCTTGTTCTTACATTAAAGTTTAGGGAATTGTGAGGATATTTTTATTTTTTGCTGTAACATTTAACATTTTATCGTGGAGTTTGAATGTTTTCAGTTTCTGGTGTTGGGATGTTCAGTCATTTTTTTCCTTATAGATGTTTTTTCCCCTGCTGTATTTTTAAAATGTTCGTCCTTCAAATTGTATAGTTAAGTGTAGTACTAAAAACCATTCTAAGTACATTCCCAAACCACACTCTTCAAGACATATTCTGTAAGCTAAATTTTTGTATCTTAATACCATATTCTGAAAGAATTAATTACAACTAGAAACCTTCATATTGTCGAGTACCAAAACAAATGGCCAGAATAAAAAATCTGAGCTGACAGTTAATATGGAAAAGGCTGGTTTTGGGGGGTAAGTGCCCTGTATTCATGCCTTTTGATTTTTGTGAGCTCTTTAAGGTAGAATCATTTCTACCTTAGATTCTCCCATTTAATATAGTGCTTTTCCTGTATTCCAAGGGTTTTCCCTCTATAGTAGCATTTCTCAGAAACTAGGAAAATGTTTTTTTAAAACGTTTTGATGTCTAGAAATGCAGTTGGTTGTAGAAACCACTTTGTCTTTTAATGCAGGTGTTTCATACGACACCTGAATATGGCTTTGTGGGTTTTTATTTTTATTAATTGATTGGCAAGCAGTCTGTTGTGGTACATTTGACCAGATTTCCAGTGCATTGTTTTAGCACTACCAGGTACTCCAACAGTTTTATGGAGCTGTTGAACCACACAAAACCAAACGAATTATCATCTGGAAAATGTGTAAGTTGTACCACCAATGAGTTTCTTATCTGTGGGAAATTCAGCTGCAAATTACTGTGGGACTGGTGTAAACTGAACACCCTACTGCAGTAGATTTCGGCACACAGGTGTGATTGTTTCCATTGAAAACTTTCTCTCAGACAGCATTTTCTGTTTCTTTCTGATTTTTTTTGTGTGTAACTGTCTAAAATAGCCAAGATACTCTCTACATATACATAAATATTTGCACTCTTTTAGGGTTAAAATTAATTCTCTGCAACAAAGTTGTGCAAACATGCAGTACTACGCAGTCCAGCCAGAACTAAATAATTTGCAGGTTTTTCAGTGCTGCTAGGAGCTGCATCCAAACTACTACCGTTAATGTCGTTTGTAACACTTAAATTAAAACTTCTAGGATGAATTAACCTTTTTGTTTTTTATTGTTACCCAAATCAATAAAATTAATTTAATTTTATGCTATTATATTAAAACACTTACATTTGCTATGAATCCACTCTGTAAAAAATGGAACGAACAAAACCACTATGCAGATAATCTATACAATTTAATTACAAACATGTATAGTTTTAACTTTTCTGTTTAAAACCAGGTACATTTTGTACTGTATTAATTTGTTTTTTTGTTGATACTGTATATGTCAACATTGTAAGTCAGTATTCTTTTTTGTAGCTTTTACTTATAAATGTAGTACTTTTTAATGAAGACAGACGTGCACAAAGTGACACTTACTGTTCAATGTTTCCTCTGTTACAGAACAAAATCAAATGTGAAAGTTCAGCAAGAAGATTTTGAAAATGAATAACAGATTAAATGAATATTGATCATACTCAGGCAGCAAAAATGTGCACGTGACATGAAGTCTGTCATAGACAGCTTTGAAAGCAGGAAATTAATTTTTAAACTTACATTTTTGCCCAGTCCGTAAAACTTTCATTAGTTAGTTAATATTATTTTTGTAGTCCAATATAATGTTTAATTTGTGTACACTTTCCAATTACAGACCTACGGGATTTCTCTATTAGAATTTTGTTGTTTCTTGCGCAGTGAATATAAGACTAGCGCAGTCCTTTTTTCCCTCTGTTTTCAGATTCTGAAGAGGATATAGAAGAAAAACATGACAGTGAGAAACCGGTGATTTAGCAGGTATTGACGGTATTATATGCAATACAGTATTGTAATATAAGTTATTGCTGTTTTAAAAAATCTTTTTTAGCTTTCATTAAGTGCAATTGCAATAATAAGAACCTGCACCCTTTAATAGAATTAATGGTAAATTAACTATAACAGCATTTTGAGTTAGAACATTTGTGATCCTGCTACCTACAGCTGAGCTCGTATCCAGTCTGATTCATTACAATACAAGAAACATTTATTTACCTGAGTGCAATGGTGTTCTGTTAAACAATGATGGGTTTTTTTCATTGAAAAAGACATGAGCATTATGATAAAATGTTTTTTTTTTTTTGTTAACAGTGCTTGTTGAAAAGTACCTGTGGTCTGTCAAGGCATGGATAACCAGACTTCCTGAATCTGCTTGGTGATCTGGGTATCGGCTGGTACTAAGCTGAGGTTCTTATCGTTGGGTGCAGGTGTCTTGGCACCCTGCTCCCACTGTTCTTCTGTGGAATATTACACTGCCTTATAACTGCTGAGCTCGCACTCATCGCACTGAATTCAATTAGAGTCGAGTGCGTTTTTTTCTGAACCAGAGAAAATTATTCATCCTACGTTATAATGAAATGACATTTAAAAAATATAACTACGGTATTAGCTGTTCCTGTTTAATTGATGTATTCTTCCTCTTCCAAAGCTGAGGAGCTCTAAGGTGATTGTAGTTTTATATTTCACTGATACTGTATACTGTACACATATGGCACATGGAGAAACGTTCAATACACCATAGAGCAAGAAAGACCCTCATCTAGTCTTACTAAAACACAGTCTGTGCAGGCTTGGTTGCAAGTTACGGCAGTCCAGTCCTTTGCACCGACATGACAATGAGTCATTTTATTTTTATTTTTGTCTTCTTTAATTAAAAATCTGTGTCTTACTTTGCAAGATATCATGATAAATCATAACATTTGTTGTGTGTACATTTCCCATGCACAACATTGCAGCTAACTAATGTGTTATGTATAAAGTGCGAGGGCAATATCCTTCCAAAGAGAATGTAAGAATAATTTTCTCCTGACATTTTGGTGCATGGTTCTTATGATTTCGCCATCTCAGCTTGAGGAAAGTATGCACTAGTGAGTGAAATCCAGTCCAAAGTCTCCCTGGTTAACCCACCAGAGTTGGTATAGAGTTGGAAGGACCCATTCACCTTTTTAAGACAATTAGGAACTTAGTCTTAAAACCACTTGGAACTTTGTTATTATGTTGAACATTAGGTTATGTAAGTCATATATTTTTTAGATAAATTACAGTAATATATTCACATGAACTAAAAACTAAAACTAAAAATGCACTGCAGTGTTCAGAAAGACTGTAACTTCTAATGCAGGTCTGCTGATTTTTATCACTATTACTGAAATTTTGTAAACAAATATTTCCGTGGTTGCTCAGTATTCTATGTATCTACATGTACCAAATATAAGCATATTTATAAACATATACTTCTGTTATATGTATACTTCATGTTACTGTATATATTCAGATACCAGTGAAACAGATCAAGCATTTCACATTATTTCATCCAAAATACTTTCTTTAAGCAGTACGATAACAGTTTCCCTCCCTTATTGTTGCCATTTTTTTTAACTCCAGAATTTTAAGATTTTAGATTGTGTTTTATCTGCTAAGGCTAATAAGTCTTCTCTAGGTTGTACAGTGTGCGTAAAGGTTGCCACCTCTCATTTGGTGATTACTAGACTGTCAATAATTGCCAAATTATTGCTAAACTCAGCCGAGTTGTGTAAGAAGAGCACGAGAGACCAGGAGCGCTGATCTCCTCCAACACCTGCATGCCGGCTAAATTTGTTCTTTCTCCTCTGGATAAATTGATATTTAATGATACTAGTCAAAATGAGTATGAATGAAGCATGAAGAATGAATGAAAGAAGATTCTTGTTGAATGGAGAATTTGGATGTACACAGACTTCATAGGCATGGTAATTATCTTCTTTACCACTCAACCCGTAAATATGATTTTGCGTTTGCTTTTTAATTCCCCCTGAAGCGATGGTCTTTTAGACCAATCTCATAGACCTTTCTTGAAATGTACATGTTTCCTGATTTGCCTTGAATTTCCATTAAATAGTTTCATAATAAATGTACAGTGCTATAAACACTTCATCTGCACTCTGTGTACCATTGATTTGACTTTTATTTTTTGTTCTCCTACTGTACTAAATAAAAGAATCCAGAATCTATCATTACTGTATTACTCTGAAATTATTTATGGAAAATATTGTATTATTGTAAACATTACATGAGTAACTAAAGTGATCACTGTTAAATTGAAAACAAAACAGAATAAGTTCTTAATCTGAAAAGACAACTTGTTTTAGCACGAAATGCGTCACTTTTTTTTAGAACTTAATGGCTTAATTTTAGAAATGAATTGCTCACCCTTATTTGCTACTGAATTTGTAATTTGTATCCCTGTGAAATGTTAATTGCATATGTGTTGATGAGAAACACATTCCTCAGAACAGTTAGATTTTTTTTTAATGGAGAAGCAAAGCCATTTCTGCCAAATACAGCTTTTTAATTTAGTGGCATAATCTTGGACAAGCTAAATTCGAACAGTCTCTCACATTTTTTTTGTCTGTTAATATGGAAATGGCAATAATGCAATTGATCAGTTATGCTGGTCAGTGTTAACCAGGTGATTTCACAGCTAACGTCTTTTGCTTTTTATAGCTTTGTCAAAATACAGTTGATAGCATTTCAATCCAATCCATCAATTGCAAAAAACAAATCCTGCCATTAGAATAGCAGTTGTTTTGTAAGCTTAGTCTCTTTGCTTGTACTCACAGGAAAACTACCATAGAAACCTGGATTTCTAAATTACAGTTGGCAAGCAGGTCAGGTTGTATTGCTGGCCTTAAACAGATTCATTGGAACCTCACAATTGTATCACACAAAAGAACCTGCAAAGATTTAGGATTAGTGTGTAAATAACAGAGCACTGTTTTATCTTTTTTTGTCTCTTGGCCAATGCTGTAGTAAAACAAATACTGTACAAGAGGTAAATTGCCTATTCTTTCAGCATGAAAGTATGTGCTGTGTCCAGTGCTTATCCCCAACCAACTTGCCTCTGTTCATTAATAAAGTGTTGCTGCCTTGCTGTTGGTTGTCTGGGTATTTTTTCAGATTTCTGTGTGTAAAAGTGTGTTTCTGTAACTGGAACTGGTGTGTGTCCTACCTAATTGCTCTCTGATGTACGGAAGGAAAAGACCAAATGTTAATTAAACAATGATTACAATATAAAAGATTTGTTTTGACTGTTGCTTATGACAATTACTCTCATATTTCAGTTCACATTTCTTCTTTGGGGAAATCTAATTAGCAAGAATCACATCTGTTCACATAATGCTTTCTAACTGGCTTTCTCCTACTGTAGTATAAAAAATAACTTTTTATTTGCTACTTTTTGGTGTGCTAATTAGGTTTTAATTTCTCCATCAAGTATTATTAATTATCATTAATTATAAGTAAATGCTTATATACAGTATATATGCTGTATTGTTCTGGTATAATCTGTTGAGTGTTCGTTTTCCAAGTTAATAATGCACCATAGTTGTTCATAAATAAATGCTGTAACTAGTGCCAATATAGGGTAGCAAAAGATGTCATGACTTTGATGAAGCTAATCAAGATTAACACGCTTTTCCGTTACGACATTTTTGGCCCGATTCAAGCGCGTTCTTGTGAACAGACTCCGCAGCCTACCCACAAATAACAGTAATATGCCAATAAAAAAAACATCCGCAAACACATTGCAACGACTAATTAAGCACACCCAGATCAAAGTGTGGTTAAACTGCTGTATTATCTTTCTCATCAAACTCAAGCGATTGTGTGCTGAGCAAATTTACCACATTTTCCACCACCTTGCTTGTTCAATTCGCTTTTGCAATTGAAGCAAGTTAATCGTCTCTTTTAATTTTTATGGGTTTTTTTGGGGGGTGAGGTGGGAGTTGAAGAATGTATTTAGAACACTTTAATAGCAGAGAAAGATTTTCTTCTTCATCTTCAAATAATTCAATATTATCACAGTCCTAGCACATTTACAGTTTACAGTATTATTTACACTTACTTTAAAGTACAATGCTCATTGTTCTGATATTTATTATCTTAAAACCTTGGCAATAAGTTTTCTATTGTTCACTTTTTTAATATGTATAATCGTATAATTGCTTTTAACTGACTATTGCAGTTAATTTATACAATAGGTGGAAAAGGCTTAAAATGTCTATATCTGTATTAGGGATTTAAACTTCTTTGCAAATTAATAATTATTTAGTTGAGTGTTACACAGGGCTGGATAAATTATTATGTGTATGAAGTGTGTCATTTTATCCTGTTACTGTGAAATCAAACCTACTGTTCGCTCCCACTCCCATCAAGGTCAGTTTCTCCATAAAACAATTAACCTACTGCACCAGGATTTCTTTGTAAATCGGAGCACCCGTTAAAGTTTTTTTTTTTACAAGTGACACTTTTATGCAGTCTTATGCATTGCAGCCACAGAAATAGTTAAAGCTGACAAGAATGATGATATTACAGGGAGGAAAACGGAAAATATAATGTGTATAGTGTGATTTCCTTGCAGTTCATCATCTGTTCTATTGATTTGCATTTAAGTATTTTTTATAAACATTTTTCTATCTTCCTAAACACAATGGTATATAATTAAAACTGAGTTTAATACTTAAGATCTTATATTTAGATTATAATTTTGGCAGGAAATCAAACTGTGGTCGTTATAAAATTAAACTGAGCACATAAAAAAATGAACGAACATACTTTATGTGGCATGTCTTTCTCTAAGGACTATGTTCATTAATATTTTTTGTAATCACTCAATTTCCATTGCAAACAGATAATACAACACATCCTGGGTGTACTTTGTTACAGTTATGTGATTTACACTTCTACCATGCTATTGTCAAATCTCGGAAGTTAATGCTAAGCCTGTCAATTACTGGGGTCAAAGGCCTCCAAGGAAGATTAGGTTGGTGCTAGAATTGGAGGACCTGTAGGTATCGCTCTTTCCACTGGACTTCAACTTTGAAACCAACACCCCAGTAAGGTGACTCTCTATGGTGCTGGAAATGACATCCTTCAGATGAGAGGTTAAATCAGTGTTCTGACTACTTCTTCATTAAACGTACTGTTAACAAGAATACCCCTTAACTCAATTGGTGGAGTAAATTCTTACTTCTACACCCCATCTGCTGCATAATTGGGCATCTGGTGCCTAATGGCTGCTGTGTGTCACCCAGGTGCGTTTTAGTGGTGGATAGTCTCCTCCTTTATGCAAAGCTTTTTGAGATGAAAGATGATATAGGACGTAAATGCAAGGAATAATTATTATTATGTATTGTGGATTGAATTTTTCAAGTGCATGGCTTGGCGTTTTAAACCAATTCAGCACCTAGAGGTGTTCCAGCTTTTTTCCGGGGTGTATTTTATTATGCTTTCTGCTCAGTTTAGATTCATAAGAGCATAGAAGAGGTTACTGATGAGAGGATGTCATTCAACCAATCCAGGTAGTTTCTTATTGGTCCCAGTTATAATTAGTAGCTGCTTATTGATCCCAGGGTACTGGCTTCAACAACATGATTGGGTAGTTTGTTCCACATTCTCACCACCTACTGTATTAGATAAAGAAGTGTCTTCTGATGTCAGTTTTAAATGCACTACCGTGTATTTTACAATTGTGTCCTGGGGTTCTTGTTTCACGTTTTTGAGAAAGTTCACTGGTAAGACTGTAGATGCCTTTGAAGATTCCAAATACTATTGTCATGTCCCCTCATACTCTGTTTAAAACTCAAAAGGTTTAAACTCCATATACTGTAGGACATTAAGCTTATGAATGTATCTGTGCTTTCTGCTTCAACTTGTACAGTGGAAGTAAACAGCATTATATGTTTTTAATCATTTTTAATGTTTAACCACATTACTGAACTTGAGAATAATGAATTTAACTGTCTAGCCAGTAAGAAACTACAAGTTCATTTTCACATAGTACCTGCTGTAAATTTTACTTGTTCCAAATTTGAGGTTCTTCTGTTTGTTTTTTTCTATAACACATTGTAAGCTCTTTTGTGTGTGTGAGAGACCAGCTAGTTTCAGAAACAGTGAAATTAGGTGTAACAGTAAGTTGGGAAGGCAAATGTTAGTTTTGATCAGCTTTGAATTAGCAAATTAGACCTTCACCTAATATAATTTGTAGTGAGTTTCAGCAGTCATATGTTAATAGGACAAAAGCTGGAAAATGAAGTGGAACTTTATATAGTTTATAAACAATTATTGGTTTGAAGTACAATGCCTATTTCTTAACCAGTTAGTTCCTTCATTTCTAAGACCTTTGTGTATTAGAAATGTGTCATTGCTCTTGTAGTGTGAGATGTGCTAATAATGTTTTGTGCAGTTAAAACTATCTAGCCCTAGCTCAATTAAAGAGAACCAGAAGGACAAATGTGAAACAAAATACCAGACTTTATTTGTTTAAATCCATAAACATTAAAATGTTAAATAGAATTCATTTGAAAGCAGTGCATTGTCGCTTGTCAAAGTCAAAGAAATTAAATTGCTCTTTGGAGTAACTGATACTACTACCTTTACATAATAATTTGTCTACATTACATTATGCTATACTAATATATGGTTGCCACAAGATCTGAATAGCAAATATAGCTTCTTTAAAATAAATGTTATTCACAATGTCTTTGAAATAAACAAGCTACGTTAGAAGAACAATACCAGATAAGGTATGGAGAACATTCAAAATGTATTTCAAAAAAAGAAATTGATCTATTCTCTGAACATTAAAGACTGTCCAAAATATAAATGAAGCTGGGCACTGCGAAGTCATTTCTAAGCATATAAAGTGAATAAACAAACTACAGTGGCTTTCTTGTCCTGTCGCTGGCTGTTCTGTGTGGTTTCTGTCTCACGGCACACCCTTCCGCGTGGCCATTCCTGCTGTAGACTTCATCTGATACATGAGGAATGACACTATGCCGCAGTACGCCACACTCTTCAGGATCAAGAGGCTGTAGGTAAGCGTCGCCATGTTAAAATTCCCCGTGAATTGTAAGGAGTCTGAAATAAAGGAAAAGATGAAAAGCAATATTCCTTTAGTTTTTAAACAGAAGTTCAGGAGAAGGTCATATCCTAATCTCCCCATCGTCTGCTCTTCCGCATATAAATATCCTGTATATCATCACTGAAGCTACTGTATTTGCACCCCTCCTGGCACCCATCTTCATCCTTGTAGCAGCTGTCCAGCAAATTCTTCATGAAAAGGGAGGGGGTGGGGGGGGGGTTCTGTCAGCCAAATCATTTGAGTTAAGCTGCTGATTCCTCAGCCAGGCAAGATAGAACAACACTGCTTTAATACATTTTCGCCTCAATGTTTCTTTCATTAGGATCTGACCAAACTACTTAAAGAGCTATTTTGAATATACCAGGTAAAAAAATAAGGACTATCACCAACATAGTCTTTTCTCTTTACTGAATTAAGGGTGTACTTAAAAAAGCAAGACAGCATAAAGCAAGCAGAACAAGAATCAGATATGTGTTGTCATTTAAGATGGTAAATTATGATTGTTTATAACTGCAGAGGGTGGCACAATGACGCAGTTGTTGGCATTGCTGCCTCACAGCACTAGGGCCCCTTGTTTCAGTTGCTGGGGTGTTATCTGCGTGGAGTTTGAATATTCTCGCCCCGTTTATGTGGGTTTCTTCTTGGTGCTTCGGCTTCCTCCCACTGTCCAAAGATGTGTTAGTAGGTGGCTTTCTGGAAAAACTGGCCCTGGTGTGAGTGTGAGTTTGTGTCTGTGTGTGCCCCTGCAATGGACTGGATTCCTGTCCAGAGTGTGTCCCTGCTTGCACCCATTGCATACTGGGATAGGCTCTGGGCCTGGCATCACCCTGTACAAGATAAAGTGGTTAGAAAATAGATGGTTGGAATTACTACAGAGAAAGCTTACCATAGGTTGCAGTGTCTGATGTAGCATTGCTTGGTGGGCATTCATTTTTTGAAGAACCTGAACTTTCAGGTTTTTTATCTTGATCAGGTTTCTTTTCTAGAAGAGAAAAAGAAAAACATTTTCTCTGAAACACATATTTTTGTTAATTCTATCCATATTCTTCTGTTGGGTCAAATATTGATTTATTCTATAGTAAGATGCTTAGAATGTTTCAACTTTCAGACATACAAGACAGCGTGATGCCAGGGGAGAAAAATAATATTTACAGGTATAGGCAAGATAACTGATCTGAGATGGTTGGAACCTAGCTCTTCCATCTTTACTGTTCACTGGGTCACCAACAGAAAATATTGGAAATGAAAATTAAACTTAACTTTCAGAGGGCTTAATATCATCATACAACTCATGCATGCCTGCCCTGAACAGCACAAAGCACATTAACGTCTTTAATGAATTATTAAGTATGTCTTTTATCTGTCTTGCAGAGGCAGTCATGTTTGTTTTCAAAAAACAATTTTATGTATTTTTAGAATCAACAAAAAACAACAGCTAGCCATTCACTGCACTGTAAATGCCCTACAGTATATGTTTTATTTTTTGTGTAAGGCTTAATCAACTACACGTTCGATATAACATTTCTTGAGAAAGTGTGTTAAGCAAATTCTATTGTTCTGAGAAAATGGCCAAAAAATTCTAACCACTCTCAATTCTGGAAAAATATAATAATGGTATACCATACCTGCAAACTTCTTGACTTCTACTTTATCAGTAGGCTGTTCATGTTTGACATTACAATAATATTTAACATTATTATTATTGATACGTTCTTGTTTGACTATCAGCAGACTGATGACAGTTTTATCTTTGATCTTCATTTGCGGTATTACTTCTTCATTGTCGTTGTCTTTCACAGATTGTATGTCGCCTTGACCCTCCTGGTTTTTCCAGTCAAATTCCACAACATCTGGGAACATATTACTTGCCAGACAGAGCATTGCTGTTTTGCCATTTTCCACAGGTGTAGGTGGATAAACCGTGAGGTCTGGTGCTTTTGGCGGATCAGCTGCAATATGTTAATATAACGTTATTAATAATAAAATTATGAACATCAATGTAGTGTAGAAAATGGACACTTTTTGCACTTATCTGATTTGAGACAGTTTGGTTGATTTTAAGTGCTGATCCTGTACAGTATATGCACAACAAAAGAGTTTAAAATATAGGAATACAAATCTAAAATTAAAAATAAATATAAAAGTAAACACTGTGATGTTTACGTTTATCTTTATTTGATACCTGAATGCATGTTGTATTAAATCTTTTTGAGTAGCATGTCATTTTTTTTACTTCATTTTAAAGTAAATGTCAACTAAATCAACAGCAGTAAATTATGTAAAATATAAACACCTACATTATTGAAGTATTGGATATTTAGAATGGATCTTTGATCCAAACACTTGAGCACTTTACACCAAATCACAAAAGGATATTTGAGAAAACGTGTTATCAAGATAGACATAACATGTTAGGTCTTGGGCGTATAGACCTAAACATGTACTTGATTTTTGTTTTATATTCCAGACAAACACTGAAACAAAAACTAAAGCAGAAGCTAGGGGTAAGTTATTAGACATGTTATATACTATAGTCTATAAGCAGTGGTAATAATATACCAATAGATATTTTAGGAGCCAAATGTTTCCCAATTTTTCCATACAAAGGAAATGGAAATATTAAGAGGAAAGTTTGACTCTAAATCTGATTCAGGGTTTTATTTTGCTGTGTCTGGCTGTTCTTATTTTTAGATAGCTCATGGAATTTACATTTTAAAGTAAATGTAGTGAGCTTTACCAGATAAGTAAACATTGTGCACAGCAATTCATATTCCAAACAATTATGGTCTTCATTGTTAGGACACTGAATTTCTTTATATTATCAGTTCAATTAATATACTGTATATTGGCACACATACCGTACATGTATACATATTAACCTTCATAATCTGTAACATATTGAGCTTGGTACTATACAAAGACATGTATTTATTTATTTACTACAATTTGCAAATTCATCTAAGACAAAACCAAGTCACATCTCATTAAAATGCAGTTTAAAGTTTCGTTGCAACAACGTTATTTGTCCTCTACAGTCAGCTTCTTCCCCAATGGAGTAGAATAACTAACATACATTGGGTGATCCATTAACTGCTAGAAACCGTCCAACCTCTGGAAAGTAAATGACTCAGGCATTGCCATGGTGTTAGCTGTTAGATTTACAAATAAAATGAGCAACACATCCATCCTTGCATTTTCGTCCAGTTCAGGGTCATGGGAGAGCTGGAGCCTATCCAAGCAAGCAAGTGGCGTGAAGTTGGATACACCCTGGATGAGATGCCAGCTCAACAAAGGGCATACACTAACACGCACACAGTCACACTAGAGCCACTTTTATCTAGAAACCAATTAACCTCCCAGTATGTTTTTGTATAGTGGTAGGAATCCAGAGCACCTGATTAATTCCACACAACACGGTGAGAACATATACAGTATACTCCATGCAGATACTGTAGCACCCCAGGTGCAGAGCTGAACCCAGTGTCCCGGTGCTGTGAGGCAGCAATGCTAACTACTGCACCACTATGGTGCCCGTAACATATTACAGTTATTATTAAAATTAGAAAATCGTTTGTTATTTGACAGATTTCTAAGTGCCATGTTCAAGAAAGCAACAACTGCAAACTTATGCTATTCTATTAGATTTGCAGGTTAGTTTTTATGTATAGCTCATTATTCCTTAACTATAGTATATATTAACTTAACTTTTAACTAATGTTTATTGACGAATCCCGGAACATATTGCAGGGTGCTCTACTACTCCGTAGTTTCAAACATTTGCGAGCTCCGTCTCTTAAGCAAAATGTTTCTTTGATGTCCTTTGTTTTGACAGCAGTTAGTTTAGAATGCAAAACAGCGTGTGCTGATGTCTGTTATTGTAGTAACATCTTGGAAGACTATTAATTTGGAAAAGGATTCAAAGGCCAGATCTTTACTTAGCAATTAGGAACTAATTTGTGTAACTAATGTGTATGCAAATATGAGAAAATAATTCACTAAATTCTGTGAATACTATAGCATAAATACTGTGGCAAATTTCCCTGATCAGACTTGCAAGGTAAGACTAGTTAAAACATTTGGGCAGTTTAAAAAAATCACAACAAAATCTGTATCTTTTAATTTGTACAGTTAGGTTGGTTAAAGTTATCACTAACACTAAATATAGGCTATACTATGCCTGATTGCAATTCTTATATTGAAATGGGAATGAAACGCGTCCTTGCTTTTTAAAAAAAAATCTATATTTCACAAATAGGAATATTAATGTATATTCAAAAACATTAAAATTGCACAAACAATAAACATATATATGCATGTTCTTCCAAAAACAATTTATGACTAAATCGCCTTATATGCAAAATAGACTAAATCAAATTTTATGCAAATTGAAAATAAGGCTACATTTAAAAAGTAACAAAACACTTTAACAAGATGGGTCCTTAACAAGATGTCAATTCAAAAGGACAGAAAACAATAAGCAATGCAGTTTTAATTGTCTGCCTGTGTTTAAACATGGCAAGCAGAGACTTCTAGGTGCATACAATAAATTAATAAATAAAAAACATACTTTCAGTTATACTTTCAAAATATATTACACATTTAATACTGACAAAACCTTTATATATGCTGTCCTTGCGTTAAATGCTAGTTTGTTAATGACAAGAGCAAATGTGTGCTTATGAGATAAAATAAAGTGTTGCTTATTTGACACTCAAAAGTCTAGCACTTTTGAGAAGGCTAAAGAATTTAAGTTATCCATCAATCACACTCACTCTAAAATCATACAATTTTTACAATTTCTCTATGTTCTAAGGTACTGTACATAATGTGTTATTTATATGTGTGGTGAATAATACCTTTTAGTCTGCAATTGAATATTTCCTACAATTTCAATTCTGAAAAAGAAATGGAGATTTGTTCACTTTCACTTCAGTGAAAATATTAACAGTATTTTGGCATCTGTTATTGTTTTTTTATTTTTCTTTCATTCCATATAAACACAGTAACTGCTAATATTGGAAAATAGTTTCACTAATTTGTACAGACATAAGAATTAGTATAGGGATCAAATTAAGTGTTAAGTACTGTATTTAATTACAACCTTCCTGGTCCAAAGATTTTCTTCCCTGTTCTCACAAGATTACAATGTCTTTAGTGAGTTCTACTGTATGCACTTAACTGTTGTAACTTTCCTTTGAATTCCCAAAGAATTGATATATTAATGACAATAATCTCTGTCTAGAAAATACAAATATAAAGTGCAGCCCTTAGCTTGATAGCTTGACACGTTTTTTAAGAAGGGATATCAATGCTTTTTGGTAGTGCTCCATTATTCAATAAAACGTGAGAATTGTTATAAATACTCAAAATACTCAAAAATTACTTTCAAACTAGACATAGGTACAGTTTTTATATAAGCTACTGTACGTTGTATTATGTTTGATATGTTTTCATATAAATCAATGATTTCGTTTTCAAATTACATATGGACATTTATTATTTCTAAAAATAACAGTAGGTGAAGGAGGAGGAAACTGTTTTTTACAGTAAATTAATTGGTTTAGATGTACTCTTAATTTGATACATTTATATTTGTTCAGATACAAATAAAACAGTACTGCATTTCCATATTACATCCTAGTAACATGAAAAATCTTGTATAGAAATAAAGTGCACAAAACATAGAATTTCCATTTTGGAATCTTGTGAAAAAAAACACTATGAAGGGGAAAACATACCTGATACCACTAGCTGAGTTCCTGAGCCGAAAACTTTAACAAATACTCCTTGGATCCCACACTATTTGTTCACTGTACAAAAACCATTGTTTTTGAGTGAAATATCATAATTTTACATTGTTATGGCTTCAAAAACTATAAGATATTGTACATTCAAATTTGATTTCTAGTTACAGAATTTAAAGTACCACCCAGCTTTAATACCTGAATATAAGGAGATTCACGGTTGAACCTATACCTGTGACAATAGGTTTTATGCCAGAGTCAGTGTTTTATTTGTCCTACAGTCTCAACATATAGGGCAAAAACTGAACCCTGCATGTGCACAGTACCCCTGAATATTTGCTTGAGATTCGAGGTCTGGGTTACTGATATATGGGTACACAGCTTTCCTCTGCCTCCTAAAGTTTAATTAAATAAATTAAGTTTAAAAGTGTTGTCTGCAAGTTCCATTGAGTGGAAAGCATGTGTTTTTTTTATTACAAAGAATATACAAAATCAAAGTCTTTGTCCCTGATATACCTTTGGTATAGTGGTTGTTCAGTGCTTTGGGTGTTACATACTGTACAGTATGTACATGTAGTTTTTAACCGAGATGCACTTTGTTCTAAAAGGATTATTTCAATGGAATGAAGAGATTAGTTCTACACTTCAAACGATCTTCATTAAAATCTCAGAGACTCATTCAGCGTTTCAAAATAAATACTTATATCCACACAATCTCAATTATGATGTTTCTCTGGGACTCTGGGACCAAAGTACTTCAAAGTAATAATAAAGGCAATATGTAGAATCTAATAGTTTCACGAAGCTAGTTCTGCAGCTTACACATTCACTCAGGCACACAATCTCCAAGTGTCTGATTTCATCTACAGTATGTCTAAATTTCCAGTCTCGGCATAAGGCACATTAATCAGATTGAGATCTATGAACTAGAACTTCCATAGAAAACTAAGTTTCTTACATTATAAAAAAGAAAGCAAAGAAAGAAAGTACCAGTGAGAAAAATGCTGCATTTTTCTCACTGGTACTGCAGATGCATATGTGATGGCACTGAATCAAATGCATTATAATGCCTTTGTAAGATACTGTACAAGTACATAGATGTCTAGATTTACTTTGTTTAGTTTAGATAAACTGAGTCAAATTTCAAGGGCTTAATAATACAGCTGACTAATCAATCAACAAAAAATACGTCACAAGTTTTAAATTGAATTTCTTAAAGATAAATCACATTATTAACAAATGTCCTAAATTTCCAACATCACCGCCTGTTTATATATTGGAACAATTTACGGTGCAAATATACAGTTATCGTCTTTATCCATGATTAAATTTCCATTTTCTAAAAACAAAGCAAAAAAACGTTTCCAGCAACCCAGAGGTTTATCAAAACATGCATCACGTTTGCCTTTTCATATAAACCCTAATTATCACAAAAAGCAGAAACGAAAGACAAAATCCTTAGTCCAATATTTTGTTCTCTAAACTGACACTTACCAGCCACAACAAGCTTTGTACCGCTTCCATAGACTTTTGGATACGGCCAAGCTTTTACACAGTGTTTCACTGCGTTGCAGGAATACCTGACTGCTCCCAGTGTCTTGAGTCTTCCCACAATTTCAGCCTGCTAACTATTTGCAGAAATTGAAGTTAAAAGTAATACTTACAACTAACAATTAGTTTTGTTCCAGATCCAAAGACTTTGATGTTCCCCACAGTGCTGCACTCACTTACAAAAACTATTCAAATAACGTGAATGTTTACGCTGTTCTGAAATTACTGGGACGTAACAGAATACAGAAGTTGACAATAACGAAGACCCAATTACCCAAATTGTTTTTTCCCTATCCTCTTGAAGTTATTACCAGTAGCCTACAGTACATGCTATGTGAACCTTTGTTAATAGAAAAGATACCACATAACATCAAACATCAAACATACCAAAAGTGCAACATAGCCTGAAGTTCTTTGAAAAATAGTTTAAGATGTACTATACATAATTATCTTGTGCAAAAAAATCGAAACAATTAGAAACATCTCAATATTTATGTATATCACTTCACTTAATTAAGTACTGTACATCACTTTTAGTCACTTCATCCTCACTTCACTTTCAGTCCCTTTTCATAGATAAGCCTACTGTACATCGTACATTCTCTAAGCGAAACGCTATATGCATGGTATTTATAATTTTCTCTTTGAGATTTACATCTATTTCTTATGTTTGACTAGGCAGTTTGAAAAGTGCAAGCCTTAAAAAGTATTGCCTACCACTGCATCCATTCGGAATTGTGTTAAGTGCAGTAATTTATTTCGGCGACAGACCTCCTGGTCATTCCAAGTTAGTCCGTCACCCATAATACTGATTGTTGACAATGTATGTGTAACAGGATAAATTATTGATTATGTTATATCGAAGATGTGCGGGAAAAGTAAATAAGTCAACTTACCGCTGACAATAAGCCTGGTACCAGATCCAAAAACCTTATAGGCATAGACACCACTATCGCACGCTAGCTAAGACCTTTACAAATACTGTACCACCCAATATTTTGCTTGCCCTTTTCTCGGTCATTGCAGAACTCGCTATTTCTTTCTTTATTCTACGAGCTACCTGTATATAATTGTAAGTGGATTAAGAATGCAATGTTTGTGTCATCACAACACGCAGTAGTACAAAAATGTTAACGTTTTTAGTCCCTTACAAAGTTGCGTGCGGGTATTTTTGGAGTGTTCGAGATAATATTAGATTACCTTACCAAATAAACATGTTATAAGGCGATGTATGGACAGTGAATTTAAAAAAAACCCATACAAGACACATTTTCGTCCGTTTAAAATTGATTTTAAAAATCTGCAGTTCATTTTTATGACAAATTTTCATCTATGAAACGTTCCTTTATTTCACCTGTACTTCATGTTTTTAATATTTTTATAACGAATTGGTATTAGTAAAAAAGCCATATTTAGTGAAATTAGTAAAGTTGGTCTTTACATGCACGAATCCAACGGTTATTTAGTACATGTAACAGATTATAAACTAAATCATAAAATTGTGAAAAGGGAAAACCTTGGTAGTTTATTTTTATAGTCATGTAAAACAGTAGGTTAAGAGCTTAAAGCTTGCATCTTAAAGTACAAAATACGTTTATAATAGTGAAAAACGCATTATTCACAGGACTGGTTCTATAATTTTGGGTTAATTTTGGTTTAAGGGGATACTTTTAAATGAAACTGGCACTATTGTACTTCACTTTAACCCTCTTAACTAAGGTTACGCGCATTTTTGGATTCTTGCCAATCAAAATATTTCACCTCAATACCGCTGCCTTTTTACTGAAAGATTCATGGATGTACGTACCTGATACAATAAGTTTTGTCCCAGAGCCGAAGTGCTTTATACCTCCCACAGTACGCGCACGCAGTACAAGAACTCAAGAACGGTATTTGAGCTGAAGGTAGTACAGTATATTCGTTTTGACTGATGCTTATAACTTTCTAGTTGAAGTTGGGTATAACAGTACACCTATTTCTTTCACAAGGACTAAGAAGATTTAAAGTCAAAAGTCAATTTACATGTAAGAGTAATTAAATGTTAAGAATCTGAAAACGCATTCTACAGTTTAAAAGCTTCAAAACTTACCCGATACAATAAGTTTTGTGCCAGAGCCAAAGTGTTTCACCCAGCCTGAGCCTCACGGTACATCAACACTGCACAATAACATACTGTATCAACTCTAAGGTCTAAGGTCATTAATACCTTTGGGCAAGGTGGTTTTATCATAGCACTGATAAATTGTAAGGTATGTTTATTGGGCATAAACGAAATCGAAAAAATAATGTTTCTTCTCGCAGGCACGGAGACGCTGAATAACTACTGTCAATAGTTCATCGCAGATACTGTAGGTAAACTCTCTAGGGCTTCACTGCCTTCAGTCTTTGAGTTGGTTCTGTCTTAATTTTACTGATTTAATTATCAGGATATAATTATTTGTTAATCTGTTAATTATAAGGATATCATTATCTGTTAACCTTTAAGAGTTCAAAAAGTGATTTTATTCTGTGCTGTATTTGCTATTTCAGATATGAAATTTGCATTATCATCCATAGCGGCATTCCAAAATTCCTTTTTATAATACACTACTCCATTCAATAAATCAAAAGCATGTTAAGGTTGAAAATAATATTAAAGGTTACTGTAATTTTACAGATTTTTTAATGATTAAAATAAAACTCGTCAAACCCAATTTTTTTTGTTTCTCTGCCAAAACCTTTGGAGTTTCGATGAATGCGAGTAGCCATTAACTATAATACATTCATCATGTTTTTAAAATTAATCATATTTGGTTAGGTACAGTACAGTATACGGCTATGATATGGGTGTGTGTGTGGGGGGGCTGCATTGCCTATAGACTATAATTCTTTTAGATCACAATGACGTATCAATAGTTTAAAAGAAATAACTTTTGACATATTTTAGGAGCATAAATGTTTTTTGGGGGGATTCACCGAATAGCATATATGCCACCATGAAACGGATTAACGAATTAATTCACATTTCTCAGTTGTAACGAGTAAATAGAAAAACAGTCTTACCGCTGACTATGAGTTTGGTGCCAGATCCAAACACCTTAATCCAGTAGCCACTGCTGTCACACAGTGACACGAGGCTATACAGAAAAGTGTATCTGGCACAATTCTAAAGGTACTGAAGAGTTTACAATTGAACTCAACAGCTTCGAAACACTGACTGTAGACAGACTTACTGTACGAAATGCAAATTACACGAGAGAACTCATGTCTACCACATCCAAAACCTTAAAAGCATACCCATAATCATGCGGCTGTCAGGACATTTACAATAACAGAAAACGACAGCAAAACAAATACATCCATTTGTCAGTTATTAGAAGGGTATATAAAAGTGTAAACATAGTATTAAAATGGATAGCCAATTAGTCACATCTTGAGGTTTCTTCCCTCTAGATTAGCTGCAAAAACCACTGTACTTACAGCGTTGTTCCTCTGCGTTATTTTACGGTTGTCATTTTTGTCATATTATGTCATATTTTACTCTTGTCCATAGGCAAACATTTTCACTGACAAAAGACGTTTAACAGATTGTGTTCAGATTTAAAGATTCTTATATTTTGTCCCATAAATGGTTTCAGAAATAACATTGCACTAAAACCTGTCTCCTCGTGTTTTGGTTTCGGATCTCAGGATGTTTTCTATTCTAAATTCCTTGTCAAGATGCACTCTTAATATAGATTAATTAAAAATATTTGCGAATATTTTTCAACAATAGAAATTAGCATAGACTAAATATAGATGATACAGTACTGTATGAAGCCTGTTCTCTTTCTGTGATCATTGCAGCCTGTCCACAAGATGGTCTTAAGACAGCGTCGACAACTCAGATAAAACCAAAATATCATTGATTTCTCATTTCTCATAAACTGATAAAGAAACTTACCGCTGACTATTAGTTTGGTGCCAGATCCAAAGACTTTAACCCTGTACCCACTGATATCGCACAGCTACACTTAGCTGTACAAAAACTGTAGTGCTACATATCTTTTAGTACTAAAGTGCACATTTCTAATACAGAGCATAAGCCAAATTCTAAACGGGGAGAATATAGACTCAATAAATGAAACTGACCTGCGACAATAAGTTTTGTACCGGATCCAAAAACCTTGATATCGTATGCACCAACACAGTTGCCGATTCCATTACAAAAAGTACCGCTCGATTCCACGGGTCTAGAACGCCTCAGAAAATCGCACCACTCCGTTATTTTCAATTCAGTTGTTAAGACATTTAACAATTTTGTTGCTGACCAAACGAATATGACAGGTTTATGAAATTTCAACCTATTAAGAATCGAAAATCAGCTGTCTCACTCACAAATGTATTGAAAACAGGCAGGAGAAAATTGTACTGTACAGTATGTAGAGCTATTAGACTTCTTTTCAAATTAAATACAAAGCGCTTAACAAAATATAGTCTTAAACTGATGCTAACAAAAACGCGGTTGTATTGATGCGTTTAATTTATAAAGCACTTAGGCTGTTTCAACACAATATGCTACCACAATTAATTACTAAATGTCTAAAACGTAAAATCGTGTTTTAAACATATTCCAATAGTAAAAAAAAATATTCTTTAACAAATTTAAAGAATTTAAATTTTAACAAATAGCACCAACTCATTATTGCCGCGTTAAAGGATCGTCAAATAGATCGGCGTTTTGCATATTCACGCGGAGTCGGCAACTGTTTCTCAATTTCAGCGTAATCTAACGTCAAAATTCCACAAAGAAGTACTGTGTCGTCGGAATTACGATTTCAATGTGATAAATTACCTGCCACTACCAGTTTGGTCCCAGTTCCGAAGACTTTGCCAGCTCCCACACTGATGTTAAGGCATACAATAACTCTGACTGCACTTCAGAAAAGCTGGTGTCTACTTCACCATATAATAATTATAATAGCTATAATATTATTCTAGTTATAATAATTCCTCGGGATGTAGAGATGCAACTTTATGGGGCTTTTTTAAATAATAATTGGTAAAAAGCTTAATTTAGATCATGGATAGCAGTTTCCATTGATCCCGGCTCCCACCCTTCTGAATGTCCTTATTTAATCCGTAGTCGTAGTTTAAATGTTTTTTTTTTTAAAGTAAAAATAACAAATAATGAGTGTTTGATACAGTACCTGACACCACAAGCTTGGTTCCTCCACCGAAGACCTTTATAAGATAAGTGCTACGGCCCGATTGCACCCCACAGTGAGATAATTTAGGGCAATAACCGTCAGCACCGCTCGAAATTACTTATTTCTAGGTCTATCACCGATTGTAAACATGCAGTACATGCCGTCGTTTTATCCCCGAGTCGATCAAACGATTCGTTCTGATACGCAATGATAAAGTAACTACTCATAATATTAAATGCAATTACTTCATGATTGTCCTGATTTTTTACTAGCAGTGCATCGGTTGTAAAACATGGTAATATGAGAATGTAGTCTAATTGTGGTCCAAGAGAGACAAATATGATCTTTAACACAAAAATCCACATATTTTCTAGTACGATGTGATTTCAAGTTCAAAAATCATATACTGTAAATAAACGTCTGTGCCCGAGCCTCTAGGAAGTCTGCAGTGCCATACTGTACCTGTACATTACCAGTTTAGTCCCCCACAAAGACATTGACTTCTCCCGCTCTGACATACAGTAAACGACTACCTAACATGCTTACTGTGTCTGTTGGATATCACTCACATTAACCCCGAACTAGAATGTGTACAGTCTATTTTACAACTAAATTATAATTTAACAAGTTAAGCGGTCACAACCGAATAAATCCTATTGGACAGAACATACGCCGTGGTATTTCTTTTTCTTTCTTTCGTTAGGTGAAGAATATTTACTTAAATGCACACGGATAATGACAAAACACTTAATACCTGAGACCACCAACTGGGTTCCTTCTCCAAACACTTTTACACTGTAGCTGATACCTCCAAATGTCACCACACAGTGAAATACCCCAACGCTTTAAACAGCACCCGAGGAACGAACAGATTTGAGTCTTTCATATTTCACTATTACAACGGAATTAATATACAACATTAAGACGAATATTCATAATTGAAATGTAGAAAATAAATTGTAGCCTATCAGCAGGTTCCCATATGCTGGTTTGTAAACAATTGACCCATTAAGGTGAATGCAACATTGAGACTATGTTACCGGGATTATTTGTAAACCACTAATTTCGGTTACTTTTAGCTCTATACAGTACTGTACTGTATGTACACTATCAGTGGTCCAACACATACTGAAATGCTCCCTGCGCAATCTACATTTTACAATACACCGTGTTCTCTTACTTGGAATACTAGCAAGAACTCAAGTTGTGTTTTCAGAAAGCTGATTTGCTCTTTGTGGACTTTAAGTAAGTAGTAGGCTACAAACATAATTCCATAAATTTCCTTATTGTAGTTTCCAGATCTTATCGTATCATACAAAACTCAGTTTTCTGTCAATCAATACATTAAACCTTATACTGTAGGTACACGTGCCATTCAGTGATTAAATCAGTTTCTTTTTTCTTTTCAACGATAATTAATATTAAAAAAATATTTTTTACCTGCAACCACAAGCTTGGTTCCTTGCCCGAAGATTTTTATATAATAGGTATAACCATCCTCTCTCACTCCACAGTGGTATATCCCCAAACAATAATGATGGAAGTTTGTTGAACAGAATCAGGGTCTCAAAGCCCTATGATGATGTTGATGATGATGATGATGATGATGATTATTATTATTATTAATAATAATAATATTCCACGTGTTAACTTTATTATTGTTTAGACAACATGTTACTGTATGTACTTGTTCACCCGTACTAAAGCATTACACACAACGATTTTAAATTTTGTGCTGAAAATAGAACAACTATTTACAGTACCTTCGTCATAATATCACAATTTCTACAGCACATTAATACGGGTACATCGTACAGATGTGTAGAAGACCTACCTGATACTATCAGTTTAGTTCCACTTCCAAATAATTTACCATAGTCACACAATGAAAAAGGCCTTTCAATTAACTCCCGATTAAAAGTAAGTCTCTTTTTTTCATCAAATGATCAGATTTTAAAACAAATTTGAAATGAAACATATTTTCAGCTGTGATACCAAAACATACTGTAGTTGTGCAGTGTCTTTGAGAAACATAAAATTCAAAATAATTGCTTGTATACCGAAAATTTTGCCCCAAGCCCAAAAAGCCTACTTTTTAACTATCTCTTCCGACATCAAACGTTGTCTTCCAACAAAAACACTTTTAAAACCAACAGCAATGAAAATCCATCTTAATACAGCAGACCACCTCATACTTGATTTTAGCATATAATACATAGACAATGGTATCATGTTAAAATAGTTCACCTAGTTTTTTAGAGGAAAAAAAAGAGGTTGTATTAAATATATACTGTATGTATAAAAATACGATAAGAACACGAAATTTACAGCTATTCCCCGCACACAACATAAGGCTGATCAAGCGATTCACTGCAATAAAGACCAGAAAAAGATCGCTGATACAGTACTTAGTGTAGCAGATTCACATAGCCCGACCAACCACCAAACACGAAAATGAAGAGGGGCTGTGAATCAGGCTTTTGACAGTGTATTTTAAAAAGTTATTTTTCCTTGGGGGGCGGGGGGAGGAGTATTTTTTCCCAGCCATTGTTCAAATGAGATTTTATCTTCAAAATCTTGCAAGGCAACACTATATTTAATTTGAACTGAAATATTTCTACACTGATCTGCAATGCATTACAACTGCCAGATAATAAAAAGATCAGAGAGGTGCTTCCGATCTCTGCAAATACTGCTCATCCACTGATCCAAAGGGTGTCTTCTTCATCATTCTAAGATGAAATTCCATTGCATTTCAGAATGTTTTGCTCTGATATTGTGTCATTAGACATTTTTTTAAATGGATTTAAACCAGATTTTGCCTTGAGTGTTTCTGAATTGACACTAACCAGAAAGTATCAGGTAACACAACATGCACTGTAGATTAGGTACTGTATAAGACCACAGGGCACAAGGGAACACTTAACACAGAACAAAGAGGTGTCCACCCATGCCCTCTCAGGTGTTGGAATCAAGCGCTTACAAAGAATTGTTCAACCACGCTGGACAAGTCACATCCCTGTCATAACCAACCCTCCTTCTTTCCACTGCATTCACTCAAGAAAAAGACATATCAAATGTGGCACAGCACTGGCCTGTAAATTAAGACGGCAATTGCCACACATCCAAATCTCTAAATACTGGTGTTTGTAATTAAATACACAAGGAGGAATTACCATACAGTCTTCAGAAACTAGGGATAAAAAATGTAAAAATGTGTGAGTGCATGTACTGTAAGAAGGAAATAGGGTTTTAAGTGCTAGAGCACAAAATATATTTCTGAAGCCTGTGTGACAGAAACGTTACATGGTTAACAAAGTCTGATATAACGTGGACTCTAAAACCTTCAGAAAATAAATAAATAAATGAACATTTTTATAATTTGCCTTACATGGGATGTTAGCAGAAAGCTGAGGCATTTGATTTCAGGACGCAAGGTGAATTTTTATGACATCATTGCTAAATTTCTTGAAAAACTAGATGCCCAAAAATGAGGTGTAGGAAATATGTTAAAGTGTGCCTTTAATTTTGGGTATCCATTAAACTCTGTTATAAAATAGACTTGTAGACCTGGGGGAAAAAATGATTTTGTAAGAAGAATTAATGAATTGTGAGAAGAAATCTGTTACAAACCTGTAACAGATGTGTTGGTGGTAAAACCGAGGTTTTTCTCACAGTATTTCCACATAATTTCCAGGAATTCAGAGGTTATGTTGCTGGTAAAATGGAATGCAATTACAGACAACTGTATTAAATATGAACTGGTCAGAGCATAAAGTGATCTCCTGCGTTAAGGTGTCTGAGCTTCATTCACGTCTCTGTGCTAAGACCCAGTGGCAGGTTTTTGTACAGGCAGCCTATGGCATCTATAACACTGTGAGAGTCCCAGTAGGCACAATAATAGGTGGCAGAATGGTCAGTCTGTGTTGGCCGAATGATGAGAGTTGACGTCTGAGCAGTATTGCTTTTTTCTGCACTAAACCCTGAATTTCTGAAATCCTCATCTGTAGCAGGGTTTTCTCCAGATATGTAAAGAATCCTTTTGAAAGCCTGTCCTTCTTTCTTCTGGTACCAGTGGATGTAAGCACTGCTGAGGTCCACGCCTTTGACTCTGCACACAATCCGAGTAGTTCTGCCTTGATTCTTTGTCAGCGATGTGTCCTGTTCCAAGGTCACCGCTGGTTCTGCCACTGGTAACAAGAACAGAGAAATGGCATAGATTGAGTCGTGAAAGAGGAAGGTCAGAAATGTGCCTCCAATCTCTGCAAATACTGTTCACCCACTGATCCTAAGTGCTGTATTCGTTAATTGGCATAAAAATCTTATCTTCACTTACCTAGAAATAGAGAAGACAATGTGATACATGAAGCTAAAAACATGGTTTTGTGTTGGTTTAAGGTTTCTGCACGTAGGGGCAGAACTGAACTTCCTTAGATGCTTCACTATTTTGATGGAGCTCAGAGAGGAAATGACTGATAAAGCAACCAATCTCTGAGCGCCACGGTTTGCTGTTTTTGTCAGTTTAGGACCATAACTGAAATCAGATCTTACTGTGCAGATTCGGAGATGACAGTATGAAAAAATGTTACAGTATTTCAGGGGTCCTGATGTTCAGTGCACGTTAGAAATGCAATTGTTTAGATTGTGCATTATTATTGTACAGTTTTGCCATTTTATGTTTGCATGTCATATTGCTCATATCATGTGGGATTCCTTTGGGTTCTCTGGTTTCTTCCCACAGTTGAAAAAAATACTGGTAGGTTAATTGACTTGTTAATTCGCTTCTGGGGAAACCGGGCCTGGTGTGAGTGTGTCTGTGTTTGTTTTTCTGCCCTGCGATGGGCTGGTGTCCTATCCAGGGTGTACTGCACTGTGCCCATTGCTTGCTGGGATAGGCTTTGGCTCCCCCACCACCCTGAAATGGATGGATCTTGTGCACATTTTGCATTTAGCTTGAAATCAGAAGGTGGTTTGTAAACGTTGTGGAAGACTGAAAGGAAATATTAATAGAATTCCTGTTGTTACTGGAACTGGAGTTTTAATTACTCTCTGAAGATCATCAATATTTATGCTTTTTTCTTCACTTAAGGGATTATAACTACTACATGGCAACCTTTGTCAGCGCTGTGATCAGAGATTCTAAGTTACGTTTGACATCTACTTTAAGTCCCATAACTGATTATTTTATAAACTGTTGAAATGTACCAGGTATTGCATTAAGCAGTGATATTATTGATTTCATGTCTCCATATGCATAATACAGTACAGTATATACAGTAGGTATGGCTAGTAGCCATATCATATAGCTATAATATATATCATATAGCCATGGTATTTCAACAATATTTGAAAAAGATTGCCCTTGCTTCTTAAAGGAGGTTCACAAACCTTTGGGTGAGGCCCAGCACTGGGACAGAACCACAGCATGTTATAATCCAGGACACAGAAATGCAATGCAAATGTAGCAACTGCCTACCAAGAAAAGCCTCTTGAGGTTTTAGTATAATCAGGCTTCTAAGCATAATGAACTGACTGAATGAATCCCAGTTACTACTATTGATTCACAATTCTAATCAACACTACAGTACCTATTCATCTGGTTATACAGTAGATACTGTATTATCTGATTCTTTAACACATCAGATCTGTGAAAGAATTTCACTATCTAGAAAGCTAAAATCTTCTATTTTCTTGGTTAAGATTTTTTTCCAGTTTCCAGCAAGTTCTAAAAGTATTAATTACAATACTGTACTGCAGTTCTCTGTAGACCTCAGGCAGTTCAAAGAGGGTTTGTGTAAAACAACAGATGAGACATTCTAAGAGAATTGTCCCATCAACTTGTAGTCACTCTTTCAGGAAAGGACAGGTGGTTTGATGAACTTTTCTCTGCTTGCTTTTGTAAAGGGAGACTTGAAAACAAATTGCCTGTTTACTGTGTGTTTGTAGCTTTACAGCTGGTTAAAGCAATCATGCAAACTATACGAGAAATGAAAATCTGAAGTTCAAAAACAGATTTTAAAAGAATTAAAATCGCAGAAATGCACCTTTAGTAGGATAATCTCAGGATTAGTCATTTCATTAATAATGAAAGACACGTGAAAGTGTGATAACAGATTGGTTAATGAGTCAGAAAACATTTGTAATGTAGTTTTCACCCTGTGATCTTTTAGAATCTAATGTTTCTGTTGCTGATTCAGTGAGAAATTAATACAGATGTCTGTATTAACAAGCTTTCATAGATTTGAATTTTCTGGAATAACTGCGTTGAGCTTCTTGACTTTGTTTCATATCATATTATTAAAATGGAAGTGCACAGAGCACAGAGTTTTTGTTCAGGCTGCTTATGGCACCTGTGTCACTGTGAGAGTCCCAGTAGGCACAATAGTACGAAGCAGAGTGGTCGGCTTGTGCTCTCTCTATGATGAGGCTGCAGGTGTTATCGTTGCTGTTCTTGTCTGCGCTGAAGCCTAAGCCGGAGAATTCTGGGTCAACCTGGATTTGTCCTTCTCCAGGCACATAGAGAATCCTCTTGAAAGCTGCCCCTTCTTTTCTCTGGTACCAGTGGATATATGCACTCTTGAGCTCTGTTCCTTCCACTTTGCACCCAATGCGGGCGGTTTTGTCTTTTTGTTTTGTCAATGTTAATCTTTCTTGTTTTAAAGTCACCGCTGCCTCTGCCACTGAGAAAAAAAACGGAGAAAAGGTATTAAAAGCTACGTTGCAGGCTCTGTGCATTTACTAATGTGAGAAGTGTGGTCTTCACTCACCTAGAAAAACAGAAGATAATGTTACACACAATATCGGTATCATTGCTTCTTGCCTGTGTAAAGTCTTTTCTCTAGAGGTAAACATAATTAATTTCCTTACAGGCTCGTATTTTGACTGAACTCAGACAGGAAATTACTACTAATCTGTTAACCAATCTCCAACAGCCACGTTTCGCTGTATTGTTATCAGACCCTGAAGTAGCTCAGATCGCACTGTGGATTCAGGGCAGGCAGCAGGTATTTGAGTGGTATTTGAGGAGCTTTAGTGTTTAACAAACACATCAGTGGGATTGATGATGAAGTTGTTGGCTTTCTGAAGCCATTCTCTTTTGCATTTAAAGTTTATATCTATTGGTGTTTTCTCAACATCCAAATTACATTTATTTTAGTACAATAAGGTTTTTCTTAAGATGCTAGACATTGAAGACACATCTGAGGGGAAAACGGTTTTAGGAATTATTGCATCTATGAAAAGTGTCAGTTAATACATTTTATTAATTTAAGAAAATAAAATATTACATTTAACTTTATATAAGAAGGAACAACTGTTCATAAACATTTGTTGGGGATGATGGGATCACTTATAATGCTAGTGGAAACTCCTTCTAGTGAATGTTTATTTTAAATGTTTACATATAAATAATTGTTTGCTTACTTGGGTCAATGACCAAGTAAAAACTGTAATAGAGATCATATTCTTATGTTTAATTTGAATGATGTGATTATTATTATATTGATGAAGAATAGCATTTGACTGAGACATTCACAAATCGTATATTTAAAGCACATCATGTGAAATTGGCCTCTGCCACTAAGGAAAAAAAACCAGAAAAAAATTGGAAATTTTTTGGTTGATCTCAGCATCATTCACAATTTGATTTGCAAGAATTCTGTCTGTTGTGTTCTATAAATTGATGCTGGGATTTACTTGAAATTATAAAATTAAAGAACACCCAAATGCTTGGATGATTACAGTATCTAAAATTTTGAACTTGGAGGTGGAAGTTGGAAAAAAGATGTGTGTAACTACAGTTTTTAATTTACTTTTTGTAGTCCCAGTTTTAAAATACATTTAGGGCCACTTTCCAGTGTTTTCATGTTCTATTAAAAAAAAGTAATAAAATAAAAGGAAACTTGTCACATGTCAGATTATTAGCATAATCTAGATGTATTTTGCTTAATTTAAAGGTAAACTGAGTGAAACTAACACTCAAGAAGTGATGATTAATTTGGGTGAATCTGGCAACAGATGGGTTAAAAAGCTACAGTATGTTACATCTTGAACTAACCTGTGGTTTCTTCACAGTGTGCTTTCCTGGATTCCAGATGTTTTTATTGTGCAGACACAGGCATTTGATGATTGAGGTTTCTCTCAAATGGATGTGTAACGTCATGGACCAACTGTTAATGATTCATATCATAATATTAAGCTCGAGGTGCACAATGCTTGGGGGTGTTTTATGTGCAGACTGGTTGTGGCATCTGCATTGTTAGCAGGCACAGTAGTAGGTAGCAGAGGCTTTCATTGAGGTGTCCTGTGATGAGGCTGGAGGTTGTCACAGCGGTATTCTTGTCCTCACTAAGGCCCAAATCCCTGAAATTGGTGTGAAACACAGGTGCTCTTTGGTATATACTGTAGAATGCCCTTCAGACCTGTACCTTCTTTTTTCTGGTACCAATGTATAGGAGTTCTACTGACGTCACTGGTGCAGTTTCAAGGTCACTGCTGCCTCTGTCACTGTGAACAAGAGGGAAGGAGAATAAAGCTGTAAACTGAAGTGCTTAGTGAAGCACAAAGTATTTGGAATCTCACCTTTGCTTACTTAAAAAAAGAGAAAGCCATGTTGCCAGAAATATGATTTCTTGTTCATGTAAGGGCTACAGCCAGACTTAAAAGTTAATTTCCTCAGATGAGGTTGTGGTATTTGGTTCAGATGAGGTATTTGGTATGAACTCAGAGAGGAAGTGGCAGATACAGTATGTTAACAAATCCCTAAAGGCCCTGCTTCACACAGATTCAAAGCTAAAAGCACAGTGAAAAGAAGTCTTCTGGAATTTTTTTTATTTTTGCCTTGTATTTATTTATTATTTATATCCTACAGTTGCAGTTCCACTGTCATTCAGTGGATTTACTGTGTTTGAAAAGAAAATTGCATTAATCTTTTTCTTTACTTGCTACACACGAAACCTCTTTTTTTATTTTGCAATGCTTACAGTTTTTTGACAATTTGAGATATAATGAAAATACATAATACCCACCCAATATCTACACATATATTTGTGAAGTTCCAGATTTAAGAAGGAGATGAAAAGAACATTGGTAAATATGGGAAAATGAGAGGAAAATGTTATCCCTCAGTCTCAAGACATACAGTACAGTAATGGTAGGTTAATTGGCATCTGGGAAAATTGTCCCTTGTGAGTGTATATGTCCATTTGTGTTTCTCTGCACTGCGATGGACTGGTGTCCCATCCAGCGTATACCCTGCCTTGGGCCTGTTGCTTGCTGGGATAGGCTCTGGCTCCCCTGCAACCCTGAACTGTTCGCAATTGGATTGATATAATAACTTACATCTATTTTACAGTTGCATCCAAAGCCTATTTATTTTGCACAAAATTATTACAAAAGCATTCAAAGTTCAAGGTATTACTACAGTAGTTTCATATACTGTACAATAAGAACTAAAGAGTGGCTACAAGTATAGAGACTTCCTTTAACTTCTCTCGAAATAGGGGTTTAAGTGCTTGAAATCTGTGAATTCTGTGTGGAGATCTTTATTAAAAAACATACTAGCATTAATGTAGCAACAGGCATTGGTGTGATCATAATGCAAACTGTCTTAAAACACCTTTTTAAACACAATGTATTCTTATTTGGAAAATATTACAGAAAGTAACTTCACCAATCTGGCACTGTTGCTAGAACTTATGATTCATGGCATTTAATTCAAGACAAAATAAAAAAAATAATAATGTGAAATAAGCCTTTTCATCTGCCTTGTTGCAATTAAAGTTACAAATGTGACTGATAATTGCTAAATGTCTCTGATTGTTTTCAGGAGTAATCTAGCAACATTGTTTAGGAAGACAAGGGGACATCCAAAATAGTTCTGCTGAAACATACTACGTATATAAAACAGTCACAAAGGAAAAATGTGGACTTACTATCTATACAAACTGTTCTATTTGTGTTGCTATAAAGTTATTGGCTGTCTGCTTCTTCTAATGCTCTAATAGTTGTCCTAACCAGTTTAATGGATGTGATTTGTTAGAATGTAAGAAATACAGTTAAATCTGTATTTGTTCTGAGGAACAAAAAAACTAACTTTCTATGTTCAATAGCACCTAAAGGACTTCTAACTGGACCAGTATAGCCCATACTGTAGCAAGTACTGGATTAGGAAGCACACTGGATTAGTGAATGTTGGTGTTGGGGAATATTAGGGATTTTTTGTGGTCTGTTGTGGATTTTCTTCGGACCATGATGGAAGCTTGATTCTGAAGGAGGGATAATGGTTCCAAAAGTAGAGAGGGGTTCCAAAGAGAGATATATCGGGGAAAAAAACGAACACTGTGTTGACAGAGTGAGTACTATGGAATATAATAACACCTCAGAAGTTACAAATAGAAAAAGACTGTATCTTTCCTTCAAGATGAAGTAGCCTCATTATCCTGGCAGCTCTTGAGTTAAAACCAGAGAACACCTGTAACTTTAATGCATTGGAAGTCAACAGGGTGTAATAGCAGACGTGTTAATCAATTATTGAGTACTAATAGAGTGTAAATTATTGCTGTTTCCAGCTTTGAGTCAAATCAAATTAATACGCACCAGACACACAATTTTTTATAATGATTCTTGTACAGGCTACCTTCAGCATGGCATTTATACAGTATGATTGTGAGAGTTCCAAAAAGCACAGTAGTAATTCCCAAGTTTATGATTTTTGCCTTTATTATTGTTTTTTTTTCTAGTGCTGAATCCCAAATGTCGGAAGTCTTTGTCAGCCTCAGGTAAATGTAGAATCCTCATGAGTTCTTTGTTTTGTATTTTTTAATACTGTTGGATAAGGGACTTTGCATTTTATCTGAGCATTTTGTCCTTCATTTTCTGTTGATGTACAGTAGTTTGTTTCAGAGTCACTGCTACAAGTACCTCTGCTGCTGAAAACAACAGAGAGAAGATCAGATGCATTAATCTCTATACTCATAAACACTCTTATCTTCACTCACCCAGAAACAGAGAAAACAAAATTACACATGAAGCCACAAACATGGCTTCTTCTTGAGGTACAGTACAGTAAGGTTTCCACAACCCAGATATCGTTTTCTTTGGAGGCTGAAGTATTTTGATGTGTCAGTCCCTGAGGGTTGTGCTTTGTGATTTTATGGTTAGGATAATAAATTACATCAGATCTTGCTGTATAAAATCAGATCTGTCAGGATAAGAAAATATCAATGTAGGGGTCTTGGATTTCAGTAGTCCATGTACTATACAGCAACTCTTGTTGGCTTATATTTGTTTCATTCTAACCCAGCAAAAATCTCTTTAAACTGATTTTTCTACATTTTTATATTTGATCAACATTGTTTTTCTTTCCTTGCCACCCACATCTACTGTACATTTTTATTGTTATTCTGATAATTTGGGGGAAAAATGAAAATACGGTATTGTGCACTGGGCATGCAACTATGAAGCTGCAGGTATTTAAGCTTTGTGTAGTGAGAGCACACTCTAGAACTCACTGTTCCACAATAAAAGCATCAATATTGTGTGCTTGTCCCTATATTGGATTCAATAGGCTACATTTAAGGAGCAGGGTACTAGACCCATTGCACACAAACAATATTGAAACATGCAATTCTGCCCATGTTTTACTGCATGCATTTTTAAGGTTTTACAAAATCTAGAACACAATAAGAGCCATGTAAGCGCTGGACATCTATTTTTTTTCAAAACTATACATTGGAACATTTAAGAGATATTCCAATTTGTTTAGGGAGACGCCAAAATGTTGTACTTAATCTTGATAATAATCTCTTAATAATCTTGAAACTTTTGCTTTGAGGCATCGAGGTACCTGGTTTCTGATTATGCATCCAAGAGTCAGCTGGGTTTTTTGTACAGACCGCCTACAGCATCTGACTTGCTGTGGGTGTCCCAGCAGGCACAGTAATATGTGGCAGAATGATCGCTCTGTACAGCGTTTATTATAAGCTCGCTCTCGGAGTTAGTATTTTTATTCGCCTTGAAAAGCTCTCTGTCACTACCGTCGTCATATCCCGGCTGCGTACCAGCTTTTTGTATATAAAGAATTCGTTTCATTGCTTCGTTTTCTTTCTTCTGGTACCAGTGAATAGCAGCGGACTCAAAGTCTGAAGAGCCTGAGAATTTGCAGGTGAAGCGGGCTGTTCTGCCAATCTTTCTCGTCAGAGTGGGTTTTGCCTGTTCCAAGGACAGCGCTGTCACTGTCGCTGCAAAACATAATATTATTAGTAGTTAGTAGTTAGTAGTAGTAGTAGTAGTAGTTAGTACTAATTTCTGAAGCGTTTTAGTGATAAAGATATGCATGTGATCTATTCTCACCTAGAAAAAAAGGAAGAATAACAGTGTGTGGCCTCGAGAACATTGTTTCTTCTTGATTTAAGGCTTGTGTGATTAATACTAAGCGCTACTTGGTTATTACTTGGTTTAGGCAGGAAATGATAACGGTGCGTTAGCCAATCTGAAGAGACTACAGTATGTTTCGAAGG